GGTGCTGTCGTCGATAGGCTCGAAGACGCCCGTGACGACCACGACGCAGTTCACCCTCTCGCAGCTGCAGTCGCTGCGGGCCCTCTCGGTCTCGCTCAAGGCCCTGCTGCCCGAGCTCGAGGCCGCGCAGGCTGCGGCCGCGGACGATGTGGCGGCGCCTGGAAAACGTTCGTGGCGCCGCGAGCGTGCCGAGTATGTCGAGGCGGCGTCGCGCAAGTACCTCGAGAACACGGGCGGGCTGGAGCTGGGGAGCCAGGGAGAGGTGCGGGACGGCGAGTACCAGGGCCAGGGGCGGAATCTCAGCAAGGGAGATGTGGAAGGGTTGGAGAAGGCTGTCGCGATTTTGAGGAATAGCGAGGGTAGAAGTACGGAAGCTGGGGAGGAGCCTCGCGATCCATCATGATGTCCATGGCAGAAAGGTTTTTAATGAGGGAATGAGATAATAATCAATGGTCATCTGGAACTTGGAAAACAAACTCAAATCAAGACGGCGCAAAGCGTGATCGTCCTTTTTGTTGTATGGGAACTTCTATGATTTTAAGTCTATGTTAATGTACACCAAGCAGGGGTATGAATTAGTCGAGATGCAGCCCTGCCGTTCGATACAACTATGAATGAAATTGTAGTTCGATATATCCATGCAGGTATAGTAAAAGATCGCAATGCCGAGGCAAAGGCCATCAGAGTCATGGCTTGCTTTAACGCTGCTAGTAAGAATATTGCACAACCCGCTTCAACGCGAACGGCTCCTTGGTCATGTCGAGCAGACCATGCGCGTGAGCCAGATGCCAGAAGTAATGATGCCATCTCCGTTCATTAACCTCTTCCTCTCGGCTGAGCAGCTCCTGAAGCACCTCATCCACAACTCTCTTAGCATCGTCCATCCGACGGTCTTCGATGAGTCCTATGAGCAGATCACGGAGACAGAATAGCCTAGTCGGGGGCCGCCCCGCCTGGCGAAGCTCATCATAAATGGCGAGAGCCCGAGCGGTGTCTCCGGTCATTGCGAAGGCACTCAGCACGTGTTCCCAGAGGCGCTGGTCACCGGTGTCGATGCCAGTGAGGCCGTGCTTCTCGAGGAGCCTCTGGATTGCTGTGCTATCGTGCAGTCCCCGCTGCAGGTAGCGATCGATGAGGATCAGAACCATGTGCGGGGAGAAGCTGGGGTGTCCATGCTGACGCATATGTTTCTGCACGGCCTCGATGGCTTCCTCGGATCCGTTTGACAGTGACGAGACGGCGAAGAGCATCTTTCCGTACATCTCCATGTTTGTTTGCAGGCCGGCGCCTTCGATGTCAGCAAAGACAGTATTTACCGCTGCCACCTGTTCGGCTGCCGTAGCGTGGACCAATGACCCGAGTACCTCCTCGAGAATAATGGTGAAGGTTGCGTTATCAGGTTCGATACCCTGGGCCGCCATCCCCTTCAACAAGTTCTGGACGCCGGCATGGTCCTCCTTTTCCCTGAAGGTTTCACGCAGGATGATGTTGTATGTTCGGACATCAGGCTTGATACCCTCTCGGCCCGCCCATTCCAGCACCTCATATGCTGCTTTTTTGTCCCGCCTGATGAGCCCACGGAAGGCGCCATTGAACACCTCAATGGTAGGCTGGACGGCCTCGTGCGGAGCGCGGCGGCTCACGGCATCCTTCCATAATTTGAACATGTTTACCAGGGCGGCAATGCCGTCCTCTGGCTTGCCAAGCTCGATGAGCCCAGAGATGCGCTCAGTCCAAGCATGTGTGTCAAGCTTGACCTTGGCATTGATGAGCATCGCCCACAGGGCTTCGATCTTTTCGGCATCCTTGGAGATCTTCCACCCGTTCATCATTGCGGTGTATGTTCTGAGAGTCGGCTCAAGCCCGATTCTGCTCATCAAGTCGCTGGTTTCCTGGAGCATCTCCGGCCGACGGGTCGCGCACCAAAGAAAGTGCCAGTAGTCGAGAAAGTCCGGGTTCTCCCGCATCTGGATGATGAGCTTCGGTCTGTCCTCCGAGGCTGACATTAGATCTTGCCATATCGATATGATGGCTCTGACATTATCAGCCTTGTGCGCCTGACGGGCCTGCCTCTGGAAATTGGCCAGTAAATCGATCGCTGATCGACTTTCGAGGCCTTGCCGCCAAGATGCGTCGGGTCTATTAAGGAAATCGAGGACCTTGTGTGACCATGACTTCCCAGCCAGAACCCTTAGTCGAGTGGTATCTTGGGCCGGAGTATCGATGCTGTCGCAAAGGAACTTGTCGATATATGCATTATCAACCTTGCAATACTTGAGAGCAACCTGAACGACCTGGAGGAAAGGAGCTGCAATTTGTAGCCGTCTTGGCCGTAACAGAGTGGAGTCTGACATGACGGCCATTGTGCTGAGAACGGCTGGGATAATGGACTTTATGCGCGTAATCTCATGTTGGTTGAAAATGGCAGAGAACGCCTTCGTGGTATTGTCCACGGCTAAAGACGTGGGCTTGTATTTGGGTTTCTTTTCTTGAAGAGCCTTGATATCCTTTACAAGCTCTTCTGGAGAAGGAAAGACGAACCGTAGCTCGCGATTCCTTTGGCTGGGCCGACCCATCTGGGAAACCATCTTCCACAGGTCAACCATTTCACTCAACGCCAAATTGCGCCGGGTGTAATCCGTCTCCAGTTGGATGACGGTGCAGAGGCCGACGATCATTTTGTTCGCGAGTCGCAAATCTCTGCTGCCGAGAAGGAGGGACATCCTCAACAAGGATGTGTATGCCCCGGCATCGAAGTAGTGTTTGACAACCATCTGATGCGAAACCACGTTGATGATTTCATTAGTTAGGAGGTAGAGCTGCTTTGGCAATGGCTGCCCGAGAGCAAAAACATGAGGCCAGATTTCTTCTCTCAGCACTCGATTCCTCTCCGCCACAGGCTTCTCTTTCTGCCTTTTCAGGTCGTTGATTATCGCAGTGATCTCCCAGGATTCAAGCGTTGCTTTGTTCTCCAGAGCGGTCCCGGCGGATGGCTTGCTGATACCCGCATTTTCATCATCTTTGCTGACTATCTCGTTGAAGAGAGCTATATGATCAACAGGCTGTTTCCGCGGGAGCTTTCTCTGCCGTGATAGCTCTCCCGGCTTCCTGTCCGGTTGAGAAATACGGGTCCTCTGCGAGTTTGCTCCTCGGGCGACCGTAGCAGTTGGCTTGGGGGTTTCATGACTCTCAACTAAGGTCGTTAACCGGGCTACGGCAGCAGGCCTCTGTGAAATGGAGGATACCAGGTGCGAGGTGCATCTTGAGCAAAGCGTCCTGGAAGCGGACATATTGTCAAGCTACGGCCGCAATGCCGCGAATTGGGACCACTCGCTTATTCTATACTAGAAACGAGTATGAAACCATTGAGATTTCATCTATAACCTCTCTCGAGGCAATAGACATGTGTCGTATGGCATATAAACGCGCTGAATTTCTCGGTTCGAGAGAGACCCTTTTTTTTCGGTGTTATCGGGAGGATATATAAAACTACCACCCGATAACGGCCAACCAATGAGACACTGCGATGCACGCAAAGTTTCCCCACATCAAGTCTTCAGCAACAGCACCGCCAACACTAACATCACCCGAAAGGAAGTCAAAAAGGACTGCAAGTCAAATACAGGCATGAATATAGGTACAATTTGGTTCTTTTTTCTAGCTCCTTTCCCACACATCATCTTCGCGACCTATGCTATCCTTCCAATTAAGCAGAAAGGTTTATTCGGAAAGCCTGCTCACATCAAAGCTAAAATATCATATAGGTTGTCGACACCCTCCGGCCAACGTCTATACATGCCTTTATCCATCTCTATGGTGAAACGCCGTCCGCTCATCCCGCTCCTTTTGGAGCTTGCAAAATAAGTAAACAAAAGCTAAACAAAACGGACAATTCAGCAAGAAGCTCCTGCAAACAAAACGCCACCCCACGCTAGCTGTTGTATCGATGTTAATTGCTGCCACATGCAAAGCCCTCTGATGCAGTTTTCAACCCGCCCACAAAGCCCAGCCAGCCAGCTTCCTTTGCACTTTGATGATGCGATGATGTACACTGAAGCACTGCCCTATTTTCACCTAACAACTTCAATATTACTTTTCCACACATCACTAGCGGCGTCGGGTCTTTGATGGCGGTGCAGCCGCCGGCGCTGCGGCGGCCTCCCTCTTCTTCGTCTGCTTTCTGACTCGGGGCGGCGGGGGAGGCTCGCTGTGGAGGTGGCCAAGCTCCTCCAACGCCATTGTGTTTTCCCACTGCAGGCATCTGTAATTGTGCACCTCGGGCGTCTTCTCCCGGATGCGAGAGCTCGTTCGCTTGTTTTCTCCTTTCTTCTCCTTCTCTTCGGTACCGGCAAGGTACTCCTTCCTCTTCTCCATGTGCGAGACAATCTTGTCCTTGTAGTTAACGAGTTCTTTGCGAAGCTTCATCTCATTGATGCCGCGGCTGTCCAGCCACTTGATGAGGGCTTCGAGCTGCTCTGGTTCCGAGATATAGCCCCATTGTCGGGCGTTAAAAACGCTGGTGCTTCCTTCTTCCTTCAGCTTTCGTTCGGGAACCGTCATATTGAACTTGGTCTTGTATTCGTCCTGGTATTCCTTCGAAACCTCGATGAATCCCTCACGTTCTATTTCATCTGGTCCCTGAACCCAGATGCAGCCATTTGCGTACTCGGCGGCAGCTGTCGAACTGTTAGGAAGACCGCCGTAGGGCATGCCGTTGCGCTCGAACCAGTAATATCGATTCCAAAATCGATCCTTGCCAAGAACCCTGGTTCTTGGGCAGTCGGCCTCCCGGAGGTCGTTTTCGATAACGGCAACCTCTTCTTCACAAGCCTTGATAACCTTCTCTTTCTCTTGGATTTGCTTGAGCAGCTTAATAAAGTCCTTGGACTGGGCGGGAAGCTTTGCCGCGGCCTGCTTCTGGGCCTTCTCTTTCTCTTTGCGCTCCTTCTCCTCCTCCCGTTTGCGCTGATGCTCAGATTGGGTTCGTCGGCGTTTCCTTCGTGACTTGGGATCATCCCCGACAATGCTATCCTCATCCTTGACTTCAAGAGTAGTATCAACGTCAGTCATTTTTGAATCATCGTCCTCATCCTTGGCAGGCGCTAGAGGTGGTGAGGGAGGCATGTTATCGGGCAGCAAAATTTTCCGCTGCTCGTTCAACTGCCGGAGCTCTTCGAGTCTAGGTCTGATGTTAGCTTTTCCTAGTCATCGTGAGGTAAATAGGTTTGAAACATACGCTTGCTTCTTCTGCCTTTGCCAGTCAATCTTGTCCTTGCGGTACTTGGTCATGGTTTCGCTGCAGTCCTCCATGTAGCCTCTCACGGCCTTGGTCTCCATGGTCAGCATGCAGATCATCTGCAATATCTTGACCCGGTAATTGATATCAAGTTCCGAGTATGCCTGGCGGACCGTCTCCTGGCTGGGCTCAACGTTTGGAGGAACAAGAAGCAACAAGAGCTCCTCGCAGAGATCCTCTTTTCGCGGGTTCTTGGAGAGCTGATGAAGCAGTCCCACAATCATCATCTCCCAGCCACCTTCAGCGAAATTGCGATTTCGCAGTTGCTCAATCCAGTTGTACTCTCTAAGTGCCTCCTCGGCTCGGTGCTTGGTTGCAAGTTCGGCCCTGAGCTCCTCCTCCTCAGCAGCAGCAACCTCGGCTGCGAGTCGCTCGGCCTCGAGCTTAGCGAGGCTGCTGCGAGTTGCGCGACCTGTAGACCTTGGTTTTGGCTCAGGCTCAGGAGTTGCCACTTGGACTTCGTCCTCGTCCTCGTCATTCTCCTCATCGCTATCCTCCTCTTCTATCTCGGGGAGAGTAACTCGAACTTTGCCGCCATCTCGCTCAGAATCGACAAGAATCTTCAACACTGAGCAATGGATTTCGTCAAAGAGTTGGACTGGCATGCTCTCGGAAGCTGAGAACATGGCCTCAATGAAGTCGTCAAAGGTGAAAGAATCGAGTTTGAAGATTTCGCAATAGACGTTGAGGGTGTCCCAGGTCTCTAGCAAAGGACCCACTGAGTCCATATTGATCTGATCGCTATGCAGTTCATGGTTCGGCTCATCAACAGTCACTGGAGGGTCTTTGCACATGAATCGCAATGGCGGACGAACGGAGCCTTGGGGCTCCAGCTGAAGATCATCGATTGGGTATTTCGGTGGAGGAGGAGGCGGCGGAGGGGTTGGCTCCTTGTTCGCGTTAGGGGTAGAGCGGTTAGACAACTTGCCCTTTGATGCTTTCGGGGCAGGCTTCAGTTCTGGGAGTCGCGACGGGCTGGATTTCTCGGATGCGACACCATTGGTTTCGTGTGATGATTGTGCGCGCTTCTGTGCTTGTAACTGCCTGCGCTCTTCCTTCACCGTGTCCCACCGAAGATGTGGTGGTACCCGGGTGTCGATCTGGTAGCAGCCGGCGTACTCATGCTTAACCAGCCAGGGCGCACCATTCCAAGCTTCTCTATGAGTCGTCCTTTTCAGGAATGATCTCAGCATTGCCTTGGTGAAGGCGCCTCTTTCACGGCAGATGTGTTCGTCCGTCACGGTGATCTCGTTGATGCTATCTTTGATGTTGACTTGATATCTCGTGGTGGGTCGGCATTTGGTGCCGTCGGCGAGCACTCTTGGACCAAATGAAGTCTTGTCGCGGACGAGACCATTAGCTCTCTCGCCGCCATCCAGGGTCACGGTAACTTCTTCGCCGGGGTAGTAGTCTTGTTTGAACTCTTCGAACAGGGTATCGACAAGGTGGTCTAGGCGCGACACAATCTGGAATTGCACTTTACGCAGAATTGGACCCTTAAGTGCTTCCGGGAACGCTTTCTCAACTTCGCGTCCACCATGGAGCTAGAGATCTAATTAGTCTTGGGGGTGTGTGTGTGGGCCGAGATGGACGAACCTCGCTCTTCTGGGCTTGGAAAAAAGTCATGCCGGATTGGCCAGTAATCTGATCGTTGAACCGACGCTGTTGGATAGGTTAGTAATGGCGATCTCCATTCGACGGCGCATGAGGCCGGGATCTACCTGTTTATAAAAGTCCATTCTGGGGACATGTTGTTAGCAGATGCGTGTATACGGACGTGCATGCGAGTGAAGCACTCTCACCTGTTCAAATAGTCCTCGTACGAAACAAATACTTCGCCGGTCTCCTTAATGAGCCAGACCTGTTCATTTGGGGTTCTTCGTCAGTCGCTGAGTCTTCCGGGGAGGTAGAATGATTATGTGTAATCACCTCAGCATTGTCATCTTCGATTTCCGCCGGAGGCAGAAACTGCACCGGCTTGCGCTTGAACAGCACCTAGACGAGGGTTAGAGGTTCGATCATTTGATATTTCCTTCAAAAATATGCCCGTACCATTCCGTATATGATGCCCGACAGGCAGCGGGTCGTGTCGCGGCCGCAAGGTTGTGTATATATGCGTGTGCTGCACGCGGGTACTGAGGAAGTCCGGTGTCCCCCGCAAGCAAAGCGTGTAAGTCGGTCGGGGGCTCAAACTACGAGGAGCATCTGTATACTGGAGGGAATGGACGATTGCTGTCGAGGGCGGGTTCAGGTCGTCGTCGGCGTGGGGCGTGCGGGCAGAGTCTTGGAATTGGATGCGGCTGCTCAATTGACCTGCAACGAATGACTTACACGGCACTCTCTGGAGGAAACGCGCTCCGGGCTGGTGCGCGTGGGGATCCAGGTTCCTGGAGAGTCTGTATAGTATCGGAGCTGCAGCGGCCGGGGCTGGGGTGGGATGGTTGTGCGTGGCCGTCGAAAGCAGACGGAACGCGCTTCTCAGCTAAGAAAGGTGAGGTTTGACGAAGGAGAGGAAGAAAAGGACGGAGAGGGCATGAGTGGCAGAGACCTGACCTGGACTGGGACCTGTAAAGGAAAAAACTGGGGGTGTGTGCCGGAGCACCACACGGGTACCGCACCGAGGAGCTGGTGACCAGGTAGCGGGAACATGGGCCCTACCAGTCGGCCACCGTGACGCGCGCGGACAGGCACGACGCCCAGGTAGTTCGCCGGTACTCGCTACCTCATTGTCGAGACAGGGACGCGGGTTCTTTTCGCTTTAAGCCTAGTCGAGCTACCCTTCATCAACCTCATCCCCGTCCGCCGTCATGGCTCTCCCGCGCCCAGTGGAAAGGCCTTGCTCCTCCGCGCCCACCCCCCAAGCCCTCCACCACCCTCGCGTTCTCTCAACGGACCCCAAACATCTGGTTCCTGCTCTTTCACCACCATTCATAGGCTCATTCTAATCGCTGCATCGCGGCCAACATCCCAGAGCTTGAAGCAGCGCTGAAACAAAAAAATTCAGTGAGATATTCGGATTTTTACCGCTTGTTGATTTCGGTGCCTGCGGGTAGGTGCTTTTGACACGCACGTCTCCAACATCCACGCTCCACCCCATATACACAGTCCGTGACTCCGGCACGCTCGCTACATTTCCACAAGCCCGCGACACAAAACCAGACACGGCTATTGATCAACTATGCATGGAATCCGGCTTGTTTGTCCGCATGTTCTTGAGTGTTCTGGTGTTCACTTCGCCAATTTGACTTATACATGCCGGACCGTTGATACCAAATTTAGAAACCCGCGTCAACCGCAGAGCCCCCTTTGTTTAGATTTCTAATCAGAACTGAAGTTTCATATACTGCACATATGAAGAGACATTTGATGTGGTTTGCATTGGCCCTACCTCCGACATACGATGGCAACAAGCAAGGCTCTTCAGTCAGGTGCATCTGAACATCGGTGTGTTCGACGTTGTTTTACCCAAAAAAGGCAGCAGCCTCACATTTCATTCGGAGTGGGGCGATCCACTTAAGCGAAAGTGCGTGCTCATGTACCTGCTTGTACCTTGCTGACTCAGCCTGACTTCCATCCCTCCTTATTCTCAGAACCAACGAGGTGACAAAGAGACGGACAAGACTCTTTGGCATTTCCAGACATTGCTGTTAGAATGCTGATAAGGAATAAAGTAAAATTTGGGTATCATGAAATATCTATCTTCAGGATTGTCAAAAACCTGGCTATGACCCTCTGCTTACGAAGTAAAGTACACGACCATGTAGCCAATCCAACTCCCGACGACACCTATCGCAGCGTACGCGCTCGTAAACATGAGCGGAAGGAACTCGTAGCTATCCCCAAATAAGATCTGATGGAAAAGAGAAGTGTATGCAATGAGTGGAATGCAGATAGCAATGTATAGCGTGCTGAACCTGTCAAGAAGGAAGACTCTAGGCTTTTTGGCAGCTGGAGCCATGCGCTCGAAGACCATGAGGAATAACACGAGCCAGAAAATCGTATAGACCGTTTTGATGGGGAATTCGGCCGAGGTGAATAAGAGCGGAAACAAGGACACGTGCCCTGCGACCGTCAATGGTTTGAATGCCCCAAAGTGGCGACGATCCCGGAGGGCGATGAGACTGAAGGGGAAAATAACCAGCAGGATGGCTTTTTCATGAACATGCCATCCAAACAGGAACGAGGAGTAGCCGCAAAGAGTGACTGCTCCGATAAAATCCTCCCATGAAGGAGAAGCGGCTAGGAATAGCTTGGCCAGGGGCAGTGATTGGAAGAACAACGTCAAGAAGAAGCATATCCTTGGGCTGATATCGGGAAGCACTGCAAATGCGGTGTCTCCAACAAGGCCTCTGGTTACGCTTTGCAGTGCCTCCGTCTTGATTTCTAGCCCTAACCTAGGAGCGACTTGAGTGCAGGTTAGTACGAGATGAAGAAGGGTAGAACATCAGGGATGGAACTTACGGGATATGAGGATTCGATCCGCAAACGAGTACAATGCCCAGATATTGGGTGCCCAGTAAGCATGGCAAAGACCTCTTGCGAATGGGAAAAGACGGCTCAAAAGCTGAGGGATCTGGTTCATATAAACAAACGGGCCAAAAGCAGCTCCAAGAATCGCAATCAGCCCGGTGCCGATTTTGACACAATTGAGGAACTTGATGCGGAAGATTGACTTTGTGGACAGGCAGTACGTCCGCAAAAGAAACACAAAGTAGGCTGGTGCCAGGTAGAGATAGATGTGCTTAAAGCACAGGAGGGCAGCGAAAACCAAGCCGCTGTGCAGCAAGGTAGACTTGCATCGTGCCAAGACCAATGACCATATCAAAAGACCGTACATGGCGCCATTGTACTGGAAATGGATATGGTCGATGATAAGAAGACCAGGAGACAGGATAACCGACAAGGCCGTGATCTGCGCGGTACGCTTCTGCAGCAAGGGTGCCGACTCGATAAATACTTGGAGGGCGTAGACCAGCATAAGTTCGGTCACAATCACCGTCGTTCGCTGGAAGTAAACCGTCTGCCAGCTGTCATATTCGAGATTGAAAACTCGTAGCATTGCAGGGTCAACCAATCGAGCCACTTGGGCAAGCGCCCATTCGAAGTAGGCGAAGAACGGGGGGTAGTCGAGCGTCCATTCCGACGTCTTCTCGTGATACCATTCGGACACGGGGAGGCTGCTTGTTAAGGCAAGCCAGTTTCGATGAACCTCGAAGTCTGTAGATTTGCTGGATGTGTGTTAGTGGTCATGTTCAAGGTGCGCGCTTCTCTTGCTGCAGCTGGGCAGGAGCTTACTAGGCCGGGAATAGCAGGATCTTGAGTGCAGCAGCAACCAGAGCGCACTGCGCCAATGATGGGTAGAACTCGTCCATTGGATCTGTCGGCAATTGCTTACGAATGGCAGCTTTCTCTACCGGCAATGTGTGGGCGCGAAGCTCGCATTGCAATCCCTGGTCGGGCTAGCTGTGCTCTGTGGGTGGCAGGTCGGAGAAGCCACCTGTGAGATCATCCGGCATGGAGATTTGCCAGAGCTTCTGGAACTTGGGGTGGCACAACGGCCAACCTCCAATTGTGGGTCAGCTTCCGGGGGGGCCGCCAATAGACGAGGGCCAGCCACACGAGTCCAGCGGTCAAGCCACATTCCCCAATGAATAGCGTCGTCGTTTGCAGACAATAGCGGCAGCCACCCCCCCAAAGCCCACTGGCGCGCAGCGATTGGCGGGTAGCCTCGTCTAACCCGGCCAAGGTTCAGGTCGTGCAGCCCACCATTGACCCTGTATTAATTCGCATATGATTTCCCTGTAGACACATTGCCGCCTCCCCTCGATGACCTTGCCTCTTCAGCCTGCGCTTGTCCGTGTGAGCTAATACAAGAGACGGCCGACGACTGCAGTGGACATTTGCTTTTACTGTTCTCTACGCTGTGTTCTCTTCGTCTGCTTGCTTACCCCCCTGTCCATCTATAAGCGCTGGCGCCAGATCAATAGGAATATACCTTGCTTTGCTTCCCATTGTGCAAAGTGGCCTCTGGAAGGATCTGCTTGTTCCGACCCCAACCTCGGCCTTGCACCTGCGCATTAGCTATTAGAGCTTAAACGTGGCAGACAAATATTCGGGGAAAGGAGGGAAAGGCCTGAACTGTAGCAATGCACTTCACATCTTCTCTACTAGCGCTCCTGGCAGCGAGCGCTGTCGAAGCCCAGCAGTTCCTAATCAATGAGCTTAGTTTCGGCCATTCTGGACGGTATTGTTTGATATTCCACCTTGCATTCTTTCCAATTCAAGCTCAACTGACATGATATCCTGCCAGGTTGAGCCCTCCCGACGCCAACGGCCAGATTCCCGGCTTCAGCATCGCCAGCTCGGGGCGCCCGCTACAGATCCTCTCAAACAAGGTCATCCTGACCCCAATCTCTCCCGGAAACCAACGAGGCTCGATATGGTCGACCGGCACGCTGAACCACGATCAATGGGTGGCCGATGTGGACTTCCGTGCCAACGGACCCGAGCGTGGTGGCGGCAACCTGAACATCTGGCTCGCAAAGAACGGTGAAGCCGAGATCGGCTCCAAGAGCATATACAGTGTGGGCAAGTTCGAAGGTCTGGCGCTGGTCATTGATGCGCACGGCGGCACTGGGGGCATGCTCCGAGCTTTCTTGAGCGACGGAACCGTGGACTACTCGGCCAAGTCCAGCATCGATGGTCTAGCCTTCGGTCACTGCCCCTATGCCTACCGCAACTTGGGGCGCCCGTCGCAGATCAAGCTGCGTCAGACCTACGAGACCTTCAAGGTTGAGATTGACGGCCGTGTCTGCTTTGAGACCGACAAGGTCGCCATCCCTGCCGGCTATGCCCTCGGTGTCACCGCAGCTACCCCCGATACCCCGGACTCCTTCGAGGTCTTCAAGGTTGTCGTCATGTCCGACAAGTCCAAGTACGAGAAGTTTACCCAAAATGTTCAGGAGGATGCCTACTCGCGCCCAAGAGACCCCCTCTTGGACAATGAGCAATCAGATCGCCTTGCCGATGAAATTGTGAGAGACATAATTCAGGAAGAGAGCAATAACGCCATCACAGAGCAGCTGCAGGTTCTCCAGGCTAGTCTGGAATCCACCAACCACCACGTCACCTCCGTCTATCGGTCCGTCTCTCGACTCCACCAGGTAGATGAGCAGCGCCACGAGGAGGTCATCAAGCTGCTTAATGAGATCAAGAGCGAGTTTAGGAAGCTTGACCAGCTTGGCCCGATCGACCAGCGTGTCAAGGACCTGGAGAGAGAAGTCCGCGGAATGCGCACCGACCTGACCAAGAAGATCCAGAACAACGAGCGCACAGTTAAGGACTATCTGACCGACCACCACGCGTCTCTGTCTCAGGCCATGCTTGATCGCATTCCGGGTCACGGGAAGCTGATTTTCATCATCATTGGCACGCAGGTCGTCCTGGTCGTCTTCTACGTCTTCTACAAGAGACGCCGCGCCAACTCGCCCAAGAAGTTCCTGTAAACTTTGACCCCCTGAACTTAACAGGACAGTCACGATCGGGGTGAGAGTGGTGATGGATACGGAGATGATGTGTGTAAAGCAGAGAGCAGCGACTATCCTGTAAATGAGGGAAGTGATGGATTTTTATGTCTAGTATGGATTATCACGTATGAGCTCGGACCGTTGCTTTATGTTTGTATTATTTGCTTTGCTCTTTGTGCTTTAGACGAATTTGGCGCCGGAAGTGGTTGTCTGCATGTTGCGATTATAGGTGGTTTTTGCGATTGCATGTTGGAGTCTTGATTGTTTACCAGTTAATGCTACAACGTTTCTTTCGGTACATCACACCAGAATATCATCAAATTTAAAACACAACAAAGTCAAGAGAGATAAAAGGCAAATAAGATTAGACATCTAAATCCTAGATATAGAGAAAAAAACCACCATCAAATATCATTCCATGCTAAACTCAAAGAACACCATAGTATAGGGTAGCCGGACATGAAGGCTATCCCGAGGAGTCAATGACCTCAAAACCTTCGTTCATTATGCTCAATAGCGGATCTCCCTTCGGGGCAGATGTGAGATTACGATAACCCTTTTCAGTAACGAGGATATCGTCCTCAATACGGACACCACCAACCCCATAGTATCCCTCCAATACATCGCGATCGATGAACTCGGCGAACTTTGGACGGGAAAGGAAATAACCCTCTAGGTATTCTCGACAAAAGTAGCTAGATAGGCGTTAGTAAACATTGTCATTGCTAGATTCCACTAGAGAAAGGCACTTGAAATGGCGGAAAGATGTATGGAAATGGTTGATGTAGACTTACATGCCAGGCTCAACTGTGACAATCATCCCTGGCTGAAGGACTTGGCGACCATCACTGTACATGCTCACATTGTCAGTCGCCGCGCGTCGCTCCGAACGCCGCATGTCCACAAACTCGGGCGGGGTTATCATCTCTCGTTTGCCGTTTTCGAGCCTGGTCAGCTTGTCCGCGGAGAGCAGCCTCAGGTCGCCGCTCACATCGTGGACCTCGAGTCCGACATGGTGGCCAAGTCCGTGCGGGAAGAACGCGCTGGCAACTCCGGAGTCCTCGACCTTGCGGAGGTCACCCTTGAGAATCCCCAGCTTCAGGAGGCCCTGGGCGGCAACACTGGCGGCGTGGAGGTGCAAGCTGGAGAACTTGGTGCCGGGCTTGATGGCAGAGATACACTCCTCCTGCATGCGTTCGACGATATGGTAGATTGCCTTGGATTCCGGCGAGAAGACCCCGGGGATGGGAAGGGTACGTGTGACATCACTAGCGTAGCACTTGTATTCGCACCCGGCATCAACAACAACGACCTGCTTACCGTCGAGAGGCTGATCGTTGGCATCGTAGTGCAGAGTTGAGGCGTTCACACCGGCACCTGCAATGATCTTATAGGCCTGGGAATGGGCGCCGTTGGCCACGCAGGTCGCAACGAAGATGGCCTCGATATCCTGCTCGTTCCGCAGTTGCAGCATCTGGCGGGCGACCTCGCGGTGGGCAATGCTGGAGATGTCGTTTGCCTTCTGGATCAGGGCGATCTCGTACTCATCCTTGATGACTCTGGCACGATCCATGGCTGACTGAAGGCTGGAGTAATCGATCCTGCCCGGCTGGCCTCGGCACGAGACGGTGCGGCCGTCGCTTTGACCAAAAATGTCCCGAGGAAGCTGGGATCTGTGTAGGACATAGAGGGTTGTAGAGGGGTTAAGAGCAAGGTCAAAGAACTTGGAAAGGTCGTTGGTATATCGGACATCATCGACATCATATAGTTGCAGCGCTTTGGCAGCGTCTGGAGTTGATCCATACCAGAGGACCTGACGAGGCTCGACATATGGAATCCACAGCGTCAGCCTATCTTCTGAGATCTGGTATGTTACGGCGCAGTCGGCGAAATCAGCCCCGGTAATATAATAGAAGCTTGCATTGTGGTCAACGAGGCCCCGGAACTAGGTTCGAAGAGTAGGAGGACCAAGACTTACTATCGTCGTTGTCTGAAATCAGGACCTTGGTCCGAGTCCTCGTATAGCCGTGAGGGTTCTCCCGGTAGGAAGATAATGCCATTATCTGGAACCCCGGTGCTTGGTCTAGCTAACTCAGCTGCTACTTTGCGGGCATGTTGCTTGGCTTAGAAAGCATCACTACTTTAGCACATGATATCACATAGGAGGTTATTAGAAGGGGAGCCCACCTGGATATTTACGGGAGCTCAGAATCTCCTCGACATTCTCAGCCTTCACCTCAATGTTGCTATTCAAAGCCATTATAAGCTTGGCCACGATGGCATCAGAGTGGGTGGTTGGTATCTTGCATACAGGGCATCGAACTCGTCCTCAAGCGCAAGCTCATACTTGAGTTTGTCCATAGTGAGACAGCTTGCGTAGGCCTTTGAAGCTAGACTGCTGGTAGATGGCGTGATACTGACCGACCGCACCTATCCGTGGCACGCAGCTGTGGCAAGCAGAACGGAATCAGCTCAAGGATGCTGGCCGGGGTTGATGGTGGTGGTGATGGTCACAGCTATGGCTGCTAACCGATGACGGCAATCGCTATTTGGGCGCATTTAAGTTAGTAGTGAGTGCACAGACCATCAAATGCGAGATAGCGCCCGCCCCCTCTAATTATGCGGCTGGACCCAACCAGCCAGTTCCAAACAGGCAAAAATGGCTGGATCATTTCGCAAATCGCATGCTACCTTAATCCGTGGCATTGGGAGAAACGATCGCGGGTGTTTTTAACAGGTATATGTTTATTATTATTTGATTCAACTACCAGAACTTTGGGAGCATTTGTTTACATTTCTCCATAGCCCTTAAGGCCGACGACGTCCAGAAAATTTCTGGACGACGTCGCGGACCATTTGTCTCAGCTCTTGCTTCCGGCTCTCGTTACACCAACTCCCTTCGATAGACCCCAGAGCAATGCCCTCCCACTCTGGTATTGTGAGATCAAACGCCAACTGTACGGCCTCGTAGTTCCCCAAGATGTCCGCTCCAAAGTAGGCCGGATCATCGCTGTTGATGCTGAACCGCACTCCCTTGTCCAGGAGTTCTCTGATAGGAAGATCCTCAATCCTGGAAACACCCTTCAACCTCACGTTCGAAACGGGGCACAGCGTGAGCATCAGCTTGCTCTCTGCCAGCCGGGCAACCAGGCTCGGATCCTCGATGACCCGCCGCCCGTGATCAACCCGTACGACGCTGAGCTGCTCAATGGCCGCCTGCATGTACGACGCCGGTCCCTCCTCACCGTAATGCGCCGTCAAGTTCTCGATCCCCGCCTCCTGGGCGGCCTTGTACACGGACGAGAAGAGCGAGGGATGCATATCCTTCTCGGTGCTGGACATGCCAAAGCCGATGACTGTGCCATCGTGAAAGTGGCCTGCACTCACAATCTCCTCGAGCATCGTGTGGGCCGTGGGGACAGGCAGATGACGGACCAGACAGGGGATGAACTCGATGCTCATATCTGGGAACGCAGCCGCTGCTCTCGTCTTGGCAGCTTTTAAGCCGCTGATAAGGGTATCATATGTTATCCCACGCTCAGTGTGCGCTTGCGGATCAAAGAAAATTTCTGCATGCTTGACATTTTGGCCTGCCGCGTTTTGGATATAGTCATAGGTAAGTGCTTCAAAGTCGGAGGCGTTGGTGAGGACTTTGAAGCCTATGAAGTAGTAATGGAGGAAGTCGTCAAGGGAAGCGAAGTTCTCGTAGCGGGCTTTGAGCGTCGCGGGAGAGGCGAATGCCGGATCATCAGTGGGGAGTGATATAGAGTTTTTGGAGGCGAGGTTGAATAGAAGCTCTGGTGAGAGGGTCCCCTCGATGTGAAGATGGTGCTCGCACTTGGGAAGCTCCCGAAGGAACATGGGGAGATGATCTGAACAACTCATTTTGAAGTTTTGGGAGGGGGGCTGAATCTTCTCACTCTATTCAGTAAGTTTGGATATAGATGATGGAGCATATATGGAAGATATTTTATCATGTCACTAGGTTCTTTGATTATGGAGCCATGTACGGCGGTTGCCGCCGATGAGCAAAAGAGACAGTCAACAACTCCAGCAGCCTTATCGGCTCTTCGAAGTTGTGGCTCCTTCCTTGACGAGAGGCAAGCGTGACTGCATGCCAGCCATCCAGCAGGAGCGTTAATAGGGAAGGCCGATGAGATGACTCGCTTCGTTTCGGATCACGACGCGCTTCCTCAGCGCCTCGAGACGTCGGTTTCGCTGCATTATTCGCGCCGTCAAATATTGGCTGAATGGCCCACTCGCATGTATTTCCGTTCTGTGGAAGGGTTCCGCTCTTCTGCCCCTCCCCTGGAAAACTGAATACGGCGCGAGGCAGAATTGGACACAGCCGCACCCAATAAATTGCCCGCGAGATTTGGACCCCTTGCTAGCTCCGGTCTTGGTAGCGGATGACGTAGCTCCAGTCACCGTGCGAATACATTTGACTCAGACTGTACTTTCTGTCGGTGCCGATGCGGCCAACGACCGTTTTAATGGTGGAGTCCGATTGTAGCTGCCACCGTTATCCCCGTTCACTCCACATACAAAGCAACAGCCATATCACGTTCGATATGAGACATCTCGACATCTTCATTGAAGTAATTATTGGAATCTTGATGCGTGTTTATTCATATGTTGATCGATAAAACTCCGCCGTGTTGTCATCCGGAATAATAAGATAAGCCAAAGCACCCGGCATCATCTTGTCTATCCAGCCGCCTGGCAAACCGATTGAAGCGCCGTAGGTTGAATCCCGCAAAGGCTTTGCCCCCATCCTCTGTGTATCATGCCAGCCAAAAGCAAATAAATCTTTCCCAGAAGCCTGCATCCAAATGTTTCGCCCCCGCCCCATCTCTTGTATCGCTGTATCCATACCCAAAAATGGAGTCAAAACGACAGATCATTCATTACCCAAGAAAACATCAAAACCAAGAAAAGTGATATGCACATCAAATGAAAACCGTGCCACCAAAGACCGTGCCCAGTCCGGTATCCAAAAACACCGCCAGTTCGCCCTGTATTTGCGCGATATGGAGAAACGATAAGGAAAAGGTTGGGTATCATATAGTTGCCATCACATCCCTTGAAATACACCCCTTCCAGAGCCGAAGAAACTTCCCCAGTCTGCCTGCATACCTTGCTCCGTGAAAATTTGATCAATCTGCCTTTGCTGTCGCCTCTGGTGCGGCCGACGAGCGTGTGGGTACGTCTGTCCAGAATGTGGCATCCCGTGATGCGGCGATTGTCCTGGTCCTGATCCGTGTGTATGTGGCTGCTGTCCCATTTGCATTCCAAATAAGTTGGGGTCGTACATTTCCGTTGAAAACTCAAATCCAGGCTGGCCTTCGGGGTGTTGGATCACATATGGCGGGGGTTGCCCAAGGACCTGACTGTCGCCCTCCTCCATGCTTCCGGGAACGAAGAACTGGGATGACTGATTTTGATCCCCCATGTTGGAGTGAGGCTGGAAGCCAAGCTCCATCATTGGCTGGTTGGGATAGGCGAATGGATCTTCCGATGGGAACATGAGCGTGTTGAGTTTATTTACAGGGTGTCGAGTGCTGAACTGCTGTGGCGGCATTGTATAAGGTGGTTGTTGGCTGGTCGACCCTCCAATGCTGGGAGACCCCGAGGTTCCCCGCGATGATATATCCATCGACAGCAGGTCGGTCATGTTCGTGGAAAAGTTCGGGTCCTGGAATCTAGGGTCAGAAAACTGTTGAATGGTATCGCTGGATCCTCGCGAGGTTGGCGTAGAGAAAGCAGTTGGTGCCCTGCCTCCACTTCGAGCCCGTGCTAAATCTTCTGTCCGTTGTGACGACACGCTTGATTGGCGACCACCAGAGAACATTGGCAAAGAGCCAGGCTGGCCAGCAGCCGGGGCAGAGCGCTTTTTCGATGGCGCTGAGCGACTCGCCGTTGTTTCGAGATCATCTGGTAATTGATCAAACAGAACCTAGGTTACGGTCAGTATCTGGAGTTAAGACTGTGACTATTGTAGGAGGGTCTCGAACCTTTAAACTGCTCGCTACTCTATCCGCCGAGTAGCTCTTATCCGCAAGCTCGGCAATCATCTGACGGCCTGCACGGGCGTCGGCAAGAACTTCAGAAGTGCCTGGCTTTTCCGGGTTCTCTAGGGCGTAAAATACGAGAGATAGGACGGCGAAAAATTCGGTGTATAGCATGAACCAATATGGCCCACTTAACACTCGTTGCTTTCGAATTTCAAGACCGATGTGAACTATATTACGGGACACACTGATGGCAGCGGCAGCGCAAGCATATGATAGCTCATCGATCTTCGTTCCTTGACCAAGACGAGGAGAGACGTAGTGCAAGAACGGACGGTACAGAACTAACTGTACGTGCGCATAGACAAATCTCAGTAGATGACGAACCCTGTTCCTATAGTTAGCTATGTCCTACAAATAAGTCTGATGGATACGAGGGGTGCGAATATACTCACCTCACGACCTCAATAGGCCCATCGGGGCTGGGCCGCCACCTTTCTGGGAGCTTCTCAAACCAATCGTGAAGGTCACCTTCGATCTCCTTAATCTTAGCGTAACTGATTGAGTATGAAGACTTGGCGGCCGAAGCCTTCTGAAGTTTGCCGTTCGAAGGCCCACTCTTCATTGGGTACACGAATTTCGTTATCTTGGCGAGAATTTCCATGAGTCGGGTATGCGCATTGAAAGCCACATAAAATGACGAGGATCCGGGTGGTGGCTGCAGAATCATAGTCGGGGTGATGAACTCATCATCTACCTCTGAAGGGTATGGCTGGTCTATATCTTCGGTGTTGAGCAGCAAAGGGAATCCTAATAAGGTTGACACATAAATGTCCATTTGCCGAATCACGTAGAAAACACGCCGACGAGTCTCGTCTTCCACGGTATCGATTTGCGCATGCTCTAAATGTCGATGAAGACCCATGCGAAGGGCGGAGCGTAGTGCGATTCCCACAAAAGCATAGCATGCGCTTAAATTAGATGTTGCTTGGAGAAATAATATGATGAAAAGAAGAGCCTGGAGGGAGGTGAGATCACGGCACTCGGTGATATCTTGCAACAGCACTCTTGCACTTTTATAATATTTCATGCTACTGCGCGTTAGCCTTCAGATATCGGTGTATCTAGATGCTGATCAGACTTACCCCTCTTCTGTTGCCTCTTGGTAAGCCATCCTTGATGGGCTTGCTTCATCCAAGCTGTTGTACATGCATCCCAGGGCAAGGACTGAGTACACCAACCCAAGGAAATGACTCTCTTCCTGGCTGAGGCTATCGACTGGTCGATCGTAGACAGAATCGAGCTTTTCGTAAAATGAAGGAATATGAATAATCCGAACAAGGCAGGTTGCGCAACTTAAAGAATAGTAGCATAAGTTGCGAGTGACCTCCTTCGAGGGCATCTCTGCGTAGTTAGAGACGGAAGAAAACGGAGACTGTCCAGCCGGCGTCGGAGGATCAAGATTTGTCAGACCAGTATGTCGTTCTCCGCGAGCCATGAATGGGAGCTTCGTCGAAGGGCCGAGTTTGCCTCGGAAGTGATCCTTCATTCTCTTCAAGAATACCGCCCCAGATGAGATACCATGAAAGTCCCAGCCGCCCTTGTCGTCGATGTCAAGCTGCCCGGTCGAGTCGATCATAGACATTAGCTGAGTATCATTTGAGGATGAGGTAGATGGCACTGAATGGTGACCGGGTTGCTGTTTGGCCGCACGAGCGCGTGCTTGCTCGCGGTTGTGAAATTCTTGCTGCACTGCTGGGTCCAGATTAGGATCCGCCAGGTCGACGTCCGGCATGAATTTGCGAAGAAGGGTCTCTGCGCGTTGCAAGCGGCCTTCGAGGGCCTCGATGTATTGTGGTGCTGGGTTTCGTCTTCTGTTGGATGGTTTATCATATGTACATTCTGCCTCACCACGTCAGATTGACCGTCTCTTTAGCTGATAGGGGGCAACATGGTGCGTCGCAATGCCTACCGTAACTGTAAACAGAGCAATGGGTGCATGGCTGCTTCCCATCGCATTTGATTTTTTTGCGGCGGCATTCGTCGCAGGCGCGCGTAACTCGACGCCGTTTTTGAATTGGTTGTGATGGCGCGTCCGCGCCACCGGCCTCATTCTCCGATTCACTACCTGCAGGCGACGCGGCACCGCCTGCCCAGTCTTGAGCGGGCAGGCCGCCGTCGTCCTCGGCCATGTCCGTAGAAGCACCACCAGTCTTTCCAATTGTCAGCGATCTTGCACTCCTTTGATGGTGTTGGATTTGAGCCTGATTTTCAAATGGGGTGTGGAGGGGGTGGTGGTGTTGGGGCTCCAGCCAAGGTGGGATCAATTTTGGGGGTTGCTCTCGGGCGTAGGCGTTCGTTGCGGGCGGTTCTCACCATAATCGTAAGACGAGGGTAAAAAAAGAAGACGGTCGAATTGACGAGGTCAGGAAGCTGATACGAGGTGAGGCAAGGTCAAGGCGAGACGAGGACAAGAACGAGTCAGCGGTTGTCGCACTGTTACGATAGCGAGCGAGTGACGGGCACCACTGGAGACTGGCTGGCTCTGTCGAAAGTTCCAGGTTCCAGGTGTCGCTGACAGGTGCCCATATCCCAATTGCCCCGAAGATGAATGGCAATCTATGCCATCAAACGATCGTCGGCGGGCATATGTGTTGTCTAGGGGCGAGAAATCGAGGACCGGTGCGCAGTGTTCCGACGGGAGGCTCGTGGGGAGAACAGGCAAAGAAGCAGTCAGACGTATCGACTGACAAGGGCTGCCTCCAGGTAATGGGAGGAATTTCTTGGGTCTTGGGGAGGGAATAAGCGCACGGTGGACGGAGGCAGGCTGTCGCTAGCAAAACGGACGTAGCCCAGGTGAGTGCGGGCTAGGTTAGGTGCTAGGCAGGGCCGTAGGTAGCACTGGAGGTGAGAGCGGGCGGGTCGGTTAGCAGACAGGCCACTGCGGGCTGGGGACATGGACATGGTAGACGCGAAGAGCGAGACTACATTGGGCAGCACACAGGTCCCAGAGAGGGGTGGGCACCTCAAGTGCGACGGTTAGGATTGACCCTCGTACAGGGCACTATTCCACTCGAGGGACAAATGCATGAACCATCCACCTGTTCCACTGAGCGGTCCTTGGGCAATCGCATGAGATTTGAGCGATGGCTGAGGCCTCCTGCGCCGACTAATAGGTGAGCTGAAAACAATATTGATGGCTTCACCTTCCAGCAGAAGAAAGAGCGAACAGCGCAAGGTCAGCCGGCAACAGAGGTCCCGGATGATTGACACTGCATGTAGGTCCATGCACTGGTAACGTATCCAATGCAGCACACCATAACGCCGACTGGCTGCTGACAAAATTGTACGTACTTTTGTTAGTGCACCAGCCCTCCTCAGCCAGCCAGGGGCGTAGCGTAGCCAGGCCCATCCACTCCATCTCTTGATGCATTAGGTAGGGAGGACTGATTTTCTTAAGGGCCTAGTGCCGTTGTGGGGTCATGGGCGGCATCTAGGCCAGGCGACCTTCCTGTACATACGAGGTCTATTCAGCAATTGGTAACAGGATGATGCTGAACGGTCGGCCCATCGCATGCCAACGCTCCATGGTAGAGAGCTTATTCTGAGGTCCCAGTTGTCCTGCATATCCGCCCGTCGCATCGGTCTCTTTCTTGCAGCCAAGTGCGATGGGACGTTGAGGGAGGAAAAAAGTGGTTTTGGAGGATTGTTGGTCAGGACGGACGTGTTCTGTTACGGGCTGACTGAATCTTGCGGTGTTTTGGCCGCTTCCTCTGACCAATCTCCTCGATGTGAAAATCCAGGCCACTATCACACCTGCAGCTATCCGTATCTGCATTCCTTTTCTACCTACTTATTAGCCCGACTAGATGGACCTATGATGTCAATCCATTGCAAGGCATATTAGATGATGGATGTCAGTGATCTTAGTGGCTTTTGCATTCTCCGTTGTGGAAACTCCGGTTTACGATTCGACTCAAACCTTATTCAATGGTTTTGCCTGTGGGTGTTATGGAGCTGCTGTAGGGCGCTGATGAGTACTTCTAATGTCAAGTACGTGAAACCTGGCTTTAGGAGGAAACTTCAAGGCCGGACAATTGAAAATAATTACCTATGAAGGTACGCCCATCATACTACACCTGAGCGAGGGGGCTACCAAGTCTCACCGGCAATGCGGTTGCCGTTGGGTATTTCTTTTTCAGGTCGCCCAGTAGCGTTCTAGACAATTGAATGCGCGTACGTACGCGTCGGCTCTCGCCTGAGGGGGAAACGGAACCACCAAGTTTGGCCATGCGCATACGCCGAGCTCCGTCCGTACTTGATGGGCAGCCTGCGGCCATCGGCCATTTTCTATTGAGGCCAAGCAATCCATGTATCGAAAATTCATTTTCCGTTGGACCACTGAACTACGGTCCCAGTAAGGCGGGACGGAAGCTGGGGCCGTCCTTGGCACAACGCAAGTCAACCATGGACCGGGCGGTATCACACTGGTTCGAGGCCCTTCATTGAGTGTGCCAACATCTAAGCTTCTTTCAAATAACCATAGCAGCCGACGATCGAAGGCCGCAATGTGGTGTAAACCTTGAGTCTAGCGCCTGTGTGTTCTGCGACGACGGCTCTGTTACGATGAGCTTGAAAGGCCACGGCCGTGCCGAAAACCGAAGCCAACCCAACACCCGTCGGATGTGAAAGGGGGTCTGTTTCGTCTTGCACAGTATAGAAGATCAAGGTGGTGATGTACGCACTGTTAATGGAGGGTCACCATTTTCGTAACGGAGGTCGTATTAGGAAGCATTTCAAACGGCCTCAGGCGCCAACCCCACCCACTACATCTCCGTAACCGCCGCCTTATTCCCCCACATCAGCGTGAACTAAGTAAGCTCCAGGCAGCTCACCTATTAGTTTAGGAACCTGCAAACCAGATCAACATCGTCTTTGGGATTCTCGTCGAAATGGGCGCTTCATCCGACCTGCTGGCTTTCTTTAGCCGAATGAAATCACAAGGCGCCATTATTGTGGAAGGTTCGCTGCACACTCTTCTCACCCACCATCCCGGACCTGCTGGCTGCACGAACATAGCTGACTTGTGAATACAGATCTGCCCAAGTTCGACGTAGAATCATACATCAGCAACTATCAAGGTAGACAGACGCAAGCTACTGTCCCCAGAATTTCTTTTCCCAATGCTTATCTGAGTATGCTTTAGGCCGAACCCGTTTTGACCGATTAATGCTCCTTGGCGAGAGCTCTGTACCGCTATGCGTTGATGCTCTAAAGGCAGCAGTAGTCGAAGCAAAGAATGGGCGCGACGTCGGAAGATATAGAGGAGCATGGGAGTATATTCGAGTGGCCGCTCCCAACGAACCCGAAGCGATACGTGACAATGCGTGGATCGAGTCAACAGAGACGGCAAACAAGGCCGAGACGGCCAGGCTGGAGGTAGAACTGAAAGGATATCGCAACAACCTTATCAAGGAGAGCATCAGGGTAAGGCAAGAACAGTCCCAAACGGCCATGAATTTGTTTCTAACCGGCACAGATGGGAAATGAAGATCTTGGCACCCACCTTGAGGAGACCGGCCACTTGAAGGAGGCTGCTGAAGCTTATGGTCGCATGCGGCACGATGTCGGTACGACAAAGCACATTGTGGATTGTGCGCAGCATCTTGTCAGTGTAGCACTCCAGCGCCGTGACTGGGTTTCCGTCATCAGCAATGCCAGTAAGGTCAGCGGCGTGCAGGCTACCGACCTTGAACGGGATCTGCAACCATATCTCAAGGCCGTCTCTGGTATAGGACAATTAGGCTTGGGGAAATACCATGAAGCAGCAGCGAGCTTCCTACAAATCAACTCAGCCGGCTCTCTAGAGTCGTTGCAGGGTCTCGTAACTTCTAACGACATTGCCATTTATGGAGGCCTCCTCGCCCTGGCCACCATGGACAGAAACGATTTGCAGACCAAAGTTCTGGATAACCCTACTTTCCGCACATTTCTGGAACACGAGCCTCATGTGCGAAAGGCCATTAGTCAATTCATCAACGGCCGTTACTCGACCTGTCTCTCAACTCTGAATGCTCTTCAAACTGACTGCTTGCTTGACCTGTATATGCAGAAGCATGTTGCAACAATCTTTACCCGCATCAGAAGGAAGTGTATTGTCCAATACTTTATTCCATTCTCATGTGTAACTATCCAGAGTTTGGATGAGGCTTTCGGCCGCGGAGGAAACTCCATTGAAGACGAGCTCGCGAGTATGATTAGAGACGGCGCCTTGAGTGCACGAATTGACTCAAAATCAAAGGTAGTTCCTTCCCTTCTCAACGTTTTGCAAAGCCGCGATATCTGACTTCATTTATTTAGTTGCTTGTGGCTGTTAGCACCGATCCACGAGCACAGATGCAAGCGAAGGCTCTAAATGTCGCAAGAAAGTACGAGCACGAGGCTAAGGAACGCCTCCGACGAATCAATGTCATTGCTTCAGGGCTAGAAGTGACCCGAGGCAAGAGACAGACGGACGAACATTGGTACGAAGGAGAGAGAACATCCGTTCTCACTGGCTAATTGAGGGTATCAGGCCATACAAATTGAGGACGAGTGATGAATGCTTATGACACCAAAATGAGGAAGCTGCACTTGACGTATCATAAACGGGGATAGACCTCCTTTCATTTTGGAGCCAGGGTTACTCAGAGCATGACTGAAATGCAAGGCGCAGGAGTTGGTATTCATTCTGGGTCATTACAAAACGCTGGAGATTCTTTAATACTGAAACGCTAAATTGTCATCATTGCTCGTAGTGCAGTGTGTTTCTGCTGTTGATTGTACATTTTTGAAAACACAATTGTGCTATCCCATTAACTGCTTCAAATCGCTTGGTGGCCACCTCACCTGTGCAAAGGTGAGGCAGCGTTTGATGCTCTGAAGATATTTTCGTGTGACTTCATCGCCCATAACATGCCCCTTCTCGCCATTGTGCAGCTTTTCTCGGGCGCTACGTTCGTGGATACCAACCATGGTAACACCAATCGGCCAGGCAGCCTTGCCAATACTGAGGCGTAGGTAGCCATCATTGGCATCGACATATCGTCGTTCTTGTAGCGCCTTGACAATTTCGATGATGGGTTCCAAGAGTGAATCTTCAAGATTGCCGCTTTCGAACTTCCGGAACAGCTGGAGAATGTATTGTCAGCAGTGAAAAGCAAGTGTGAGATGACAGTGGGACTTACAGGTACCATATTTTCTCGTGTCTGTACCATGGCAGTGTATGCAGTTTTACTTGCAGTTGTGTCTCTCTTTTCTTCTTCCATTGCGCGTTCGTAAGCCGTGAGAATCATTGTGAAGTAACTGGCAAGCTGGCGGAACACCCATTGTTTCCCCTTCTTATCTTTCGGTACTGTCCCATCGAGCTTCATATCCTTCTCTTCCACGAGTTCCAAAGTGGTGGGAATGGGGCCCTTTGTAATTACGGTGGTAAGTTTTCTGTACCGCCGTAGTCTTGCTACATGTTTCTCTCCGAACAGAGCGACGGGCTCTCCAAGGGCTCTGAGCTTCTCTCGGAGCTCATCTTCGGGGATATCCTCTACTCCCTCGCCCACGTTGTTCTCTTCGTCGTCTTCCGTCTTCCTCTTCAACTCCTCCAGACCCAGCTTTTTCCTTCTCGCTTGTTGCTCTGCCCACTCCTCGTCCTCGCGACGTTTTCGAGACTCTTCCGCAAGCTTGCGGCGCTTCTCCTCTCGCGCGGCGTTCTCCGCTGCGACTTCTTCCTCTCGCTTGCGCTTCGCAATCGCTTTCGCTTCGCGTTCGTCCTCAAGAGCTTTTTGTTCGGCGGCATATGCTGCCTTGCGCTCGGCTTCGATTTCAGAGCGCTTCATAAACTTTTTGGACGAGCCGCTGTCGCTTGGCTTCTGCGACTTGCCAAGCTCCTTCTTCATCAACGCCGCGAAATCCATGGTGATCGTTGCAGCAAAGGCTTCGAATTGGCGTTGATAGAGCAAAGGCCAACAAATAAAGAAAATAAACGAATGAGTGATAGACTTGTATTCAGTCGAGATTCAATCGGACAACCATTGCGCGAGGCTGCAAGTTGCTTCCCATCTCTTATCGATTGCGGATAAAGCACGGAGAATCTGGAAGCGCCGACGCATCGGCAGAAGCTCTGAATGGTTTCCGCAACCAAACAAGCAGCCACCTACCTAACGCAGTAGATGGTTCTAGGGTCCAACACATTGCAATACAACGAATACATTGATCAATAATAAGTTGTATCGAAGCTATAATCTAAACATGTCCTCTGTCTCAAGCGGCCGAGACGAACCGGCCCCATTTCTACTACAACTCTTTTATCGCACCGGGTCCTTTCATACGTAGGCATCCCAGCGCCCCAGCGGGAGTTCAGAGCTGACCTATTGCTCGTAGACCAGAGGACTTCTCATCACATACCCTGCCGTCCCATGTATCCGTTTATACGGGGCAGGACTGTACGCTTCATCAGCTGGCGCTTGAACTAGCCGCACTGAAACCATCTGCCATACCAACGCCGGCTGTTGGTACACGATTAGCTTTTCAACTCGTCTGCCCTGATCTTCGTAACAGTAACGGGATTTCCCACGCGCCCCCGCGGTATGCGGTAAAAGATCTGGGCAGTATTGTCCTTGGAGGGCATGGGCCAGGCGCAGATCATGATGCCGGACTCTTTGATACTAGTCTGGATGATCAGAAGACTTTAGCAGATGCTCGATTCGTAGTCGGTGATTTCATATCATGTGCAGTGCTCCCTCCTTTGGCTGATGGATCAGTCGCGCCGGTACCCACCACTAAGAGAGAGCCTATCCCTGGCGCGAGGGACAGCCGTCCGAGTTGGCGAGGTGACTCTTCAGCTAGAAATGGCGGGTTTGGACGTGGTGGACATCGAGGAGGACGAAGCGGCTGGAAAGAAGGGGCCGGAGGTCGCATTCCGACTGGAGAATGGCGGAGGGGTGAGAGGCTTCCAGAGGGTCCTAAAGGCAGATTAAGAGAGAAAAGCAATTGGTAATTCATGTCACGCATTTGCGAGTTTGCGCCTTGGCTCAGTATTTCGCTTCTGTTCCGGGAGGATGAGTAGCTCGAATGATATTAGAATCGGTCATGGCAAGTCCTTGGTAGAATGGAAGTTTTATTCCGTGCCAAAATAGCCATATGTACACACTCCTTTCCCAACCATTCTGAACGCAATTTACTTCTGGTAGACAGTGTCGCCCTTTCTCTTCGCCTTGAGATTGTACAGTCCCTTGAAGCAATTAGTTGTGGATCAATTGGAGCGGCGGACATGAACCTACATCGGTCTGGTAGGCGAGGTATCCGACCAGAGCAGGAATGACGGCGACGTAGATGAATGTGATGCGGGCGGTTCTGGGGGTGAATCGGAAGTATTGAACGCGGTTCTTTGTCATGGCTACGCTGAATGTTAGAATTCGGCATCGTGGCGGTGATGGTGGATGTTACTCACCCGCTACCTTTTGGTAGGCCGGGTCCGGCCGGAAGCCTGGAGCATTGTGGTTAGCAGTTTGAACTTGTATTCTTGCGATTGGAAATCTTACTGAGTTCGGCCATTTTGATTGAACGAGTTCTGGTGAGTTTGAACTTGTTTGCGGGCTGGGAATGGATCGCTCTGAAGTTGGAATCCTTTGCGTTGAAGGGACGAGGCACTTGAGCTTTATCTTACATAATAAATTAGGAACTACCCTATTGGCCCGATCTGCCGATGAGAACGACCTCCGGACAACAGAATTCACAGCCTCGTCCTTCAGCTACGGACAATCAAGAAGATATGTAATATTAAGGGATCAGCGAGAAACAAGAGACATTTTTCTCCAAGTGTCTGCTGGTGTTACCCCGAAGCGTGGAAAGGTGTACCATTTGATGCTTCAAGGATTGATAAGTAAATGGCGTCACGTGAATGGTTCTTGCTCTTCCTTCACTCAAGTACAGCAAACTTCGCAACTTCTCGTTTTTCGACGACGTCTACGAGGAATCGACATCCCTCCTATTTCTAGCCCAGGATCTGACAGATATCCTGCTGGATTGGTAGTCTAGCTCAATAAACAATCTCTACCTACAGATGCATGTACCTGTACTTTTATGGTGCCTGCAAACATCTTTACTTTCAAAGGATAAACTATTCTATACTGGTTTCACATACTGAAGATCGAAATGGTTTTCTTTCTCGCGTCAAACATATTGCTTTTAGGCAAAGCTCTCAGGTTCGAACTCTTCGCTCGCGTGCTCAAGAAGCTGTCCATACTTATTGGGTACTTTGGCTGTTGAAATGGGGTCACGTGCGGCGCTAGTCCCATTCAAACGCCAAGCAAGAAATTAATTTGGATACGCGACGACGGCCTCATCGTGCAGCTCGCGATTGCAAACCTTGATCTCCAAGCAGTCGCGCTGCTGGTCATCATGTCGCAACCACCACCACCACCTCCGGGATGGGGAGCTCCCCCCCCTCCCCCTCCTCCTCCATCATCTCTTCCTCCTCCTCCGTCGACGCCGGCTCCTCCCGCGCCGCCGCCGCCTGGCTATCGACCTTCGACTGATCCCCTGGTCGCAAAGCTGGCGCAAAAGAAAAAGGAATGGCTTCGGGACCGTCGAAACCGATTCGGGGAGAAGAGGAAGGCTGGATTCGTCCAGACTCAGAAGGCTGATATGCCTCCCGAGCATTTACGAAAGATCGTTAGGGATATCGGCGACGTATCGCAGAAGAAATACACCAACGATAAGCGCAGCTACTTGGGAGCTTTGAAATTCATGCCGCACGCCGTTTTAAAGCTTCTTGAAAACATGCCTATGCCCTGGGAGTCGGCAAGGGAAGTCAAGGTGCTTTATCACGTCAACGGTTGCTTGACGCTCGTCAACGAAATTCCTCGAGTCATCGAACCCATCTTCTTTGCACAGTGGGCTATGATGTGGACCTTTATGCGAAAAGAAAAGGCCGATCGACGACTCTTTAAACGTATGCGATTTCCCCCATTCGACGACGAAGAGCCACCGCTGTCGTGGGCCGAAAACTTGGAAGACGTCGAGCCTTTGGAACCCATTCAGATGGAGCTCAACGAGGAAGAAGACGAGGCTGTACACGAATGGTTCTACGACCATCGCCCTTTGCTCGATACGCCACATGTCAATGGTCCGAGCTACAAAGCGTGGAATCTATCCCTACCTCAAATGGCCACCCTTTTCCGACTTAGCAGGCCTCTGATTTCCGACGTGGTTGATTCAAACTACTTCTACCTGTTCGATCTCAAGGGTTTTCTTACCGCCAAGGCGCTCAATGTCGCCTTGCCAGGTGGTCCGAGATTTGAGCCCTTATACAAAGACATCAACCCGAACGACGAAGATTTTGGCGAGTTCAACGCCATCGACCGCATCATTTTCCGAAACCCCATCCGCACAGAGTTTCGGGTAGCATATCCATATTTATATAATTCCCTTCCACGAAGTGTTCATCTTGCTTGGCACTCTTACCCCCAAATAGTCTTCAACCGGGCTGATGACCCTGACCTGCCTACCTTCCACTTCGACCGCCGCATCAACCCAATTTCTTCCCGAACAGTGGCTTCGAAGAACGTGGAGGTATCACTTGAAGATGAGTTGTTTGGCCCGGGTTCTAACGAAGAACCGGAGGATGATGCATTTGAGCTTCCCGCTGGCGTGGAGCCATTCCTTGCCGACGAGGAGTTAGAAAACACAGATACCTCCTCAGCCACTGAGCTGTGGTGGGCTCCTTTCCCATTCAATCGACGATCAGGTCGCATGGTTCGCGCTCAAGACGTACCACTCATCAAACAGTGGTATCTTGAGCATCCTCCCTCTGACCGACCACCCGTGAAGGTGCGGGTGTCTTATCAGAAACTTCTCAAGAATTTTGTTCTGAATGAGCTTCATAAAAAGAGACCGAAGGCACACAACAATCAGAATCTTCTACGCTCTTTGAAGCAAACCAAGTTCTTCCAACAAACGACCATCGACTGGGTGGAGGCTGGTCTGCAAGTTTGCCGCCAAGGCTTTAATATGCTGAACCTCCTTATCCACCGCAAGAACTTGACATATCTTCATCTTGACTACAACTTCAATTTGAAGCCCGTCAAGACCCTCACCACCAAGGAGCGTAAGAAGTCAAGATTCGGAAACGCATTCCATCTGATGCGAGAAATCTTGCGTCTGACCAAACTGATCGTCGATGCTCAAGTTCAGTACCGCCTGGGAAACATTGATGCCTTTCAGCTGGCTGATGGTATCCTCTATGCATTCAACCACGTCGGTCAGCTCACGGGAATGTACCGCTATAAATATAAGCTGATGCATCAGATTCGAACTTGCAAAGATTTGAAGCATTTGATCTACTATCGCTTCAACTCTGGGCCTGTTGGCAAAGGTCCTGGCTGTGGTTTCTGGGCACCTGCATGGAGAGTTTGGCTATTCTTCATGCGAGGTATTATTCCCCTCTTGGAGCGTTGGCTAGGAAATCTTCTCTCCCGTCAATTTGAAGGCCGTCACAGTAAGGGAGTCGCAAAAACTGTGACCAAACAACGTGTCGAGTCGCACTTCGATTTGGAGCTCCGCGCTTCTGTTATGGCTGATCTTATGGACATGATGCCCGAGGGTATCAAGCAAAACAAGGTCAACACGGTACTTCAGCATCTATCTGAAGCATGGCGATGCTGGAAGAGTAACATTCCTTGGAAGGTTCCCGGACTGCCTGCGCCCATTGAAAACATTATTCTACGTTATGTTAAGTCAAAGGCCGATTGGTGGATTTCGGTTGCTCACTACAACAGAGAGCGTATCCGACGAGGTGCCACTGTTGACAAGACTGTTGCCAAGAAGAACGTGGGTCGCCTGACTCGTCTTTGGCTTAAGGCTGAGCAGGAGAGACAGCATAACCACATGAAGGATGGACCTTATGTATCGTCAGAAGAAGGTGTGGCAATCTACACCACTACCGTACACTGGCTCGAGTCTCGCAAGTTTTCTCCTATTCCATTCCCCAGTGTGTCTTATAAACACGACACGAAGATCCTCATCTTGGCCCTGGAACGTCTTCGAGAAGCATACTCTGTCAAGGGGCGCTTGAATCAGAGCCAGCGTGAAGAACTGGCCTTGATCGAGCAGGCCTACGATAGCCCCGGTACTACGCTTGAGCGTATCAAGCGCTTCCTCCTCACGCAGCGAGCTTTCAAGGAGGTGAGCATTGATATGAACGACAACTATAGTACTATCAATCCCGTGTACGATATCGAACCCATTGAGAAAATCAGCGATGCTTATCTCGATCAATATCTTTGGTACCAAGCAGACCAGCGACATCTGTTCCCTGCCTGGATTAAGCCTTCCGACTCTGAGGTTCCGCCGCTTTTGACATATAAGTGGGCGCAAGGCATTAACAATCTTGGTCGGGTTTGGGAAACGGCAGATGGCGAATGCAATGTCATGATTGAGACGGAGCTGTCCAAGGTCTACGAGAAGATTGAATTGACTCTTCTGAACTCTTTACTGAGATTGATCATGGATCACAATCTTGCTGATTACATCACCGCCAAGAACAATGTTCAGCTCACATACAAGGACATGAATCACGTCAATAGCTATGGTATGATTCGTGGCCTGCAATTCTCAGCTTTCGTGTTCCAATTTTATGGATTGGTACTCGATCTGTTGCTACTTGGCCCTCAGAGAGCTAGTGAGATTGCCGGACCTCCAGAAAGCCCCAACGATTTCTTGCAGTTCCGTGATCGCGAGACTGAGACGAGACACCCAATCCGTCTGTATACTCGATACATTGACAAGATCTGGGTTTTCTTGCGATTCACAGCTGAAGAATCGAGAGATCTCATTCAGCGATTCCTGACAGAGCAACCCGATCCTAATTTTGAGAATGTGATTGGGTACAAGAGCAAGAAATGCTGGCCAAGAGATTCTCGAATGCGTTTGATGAGGCATGACGTCAATCTTGGCCGAGCCGTGTTTTGGGATCTCAAGAACCGACTACCCCGATCTGTCACTACAATCGATTGGGATGACAGCTTTGTGAGCGTCTACAGTCGCGACAACCCGAATCTGTTATTCTCTATGTGTGGCTTTGAAGTCCGCATCCTGCCCAAGATCCGAAACCAGAATGATGAATTCTCAGTCAAGGATAGTGTTTGGTCTTTAGTTGATAACACAACTAAGGAGAGAACCGCGCACGCTTTCCTACAAGTAACTGAAGAGGACATTCAGAAATTCAACAATCGCATCAGGCAGATTCTCATGTCTTCGGGATCCACAACTTTTACCAAGATTGCCAACAAGTGGAACACGGCACTGATCGCTCTCTTCACATACTATCGCGAGGCTGCTGTTTCCACCGTGGACCTTTTGGACACAATTGTTAAATGTGAAACGAAGATCCAGACTCGAGTCAAGATTGGGCTTAACTCGAAGATGCCTTCTCGTTTCCCACCTGCCGTGTTCTATACACCCAAGGAATTGGGCGGCCTCGGCATGATTTCAGGATCTCACATCTTGATTCCTGCGAGTGACAAGCGTTGGTCTAAGCAGACAGACACGGGAGTGACCCACTATCGCGCTGGTATGACGCATGACGAGGAGACGTTGATCCCTAATATCTTCCGATACATCGTGCCTTGGGAGGCCGAATTTATTGACTCTCAGCGAGTGTGGACGGAATACTCGCAGAAACGTCTCGAGGCTAACCAGCAGAACCGCCGACTAACATTAGAGGATCTTGAGGATAGTTGGGATCGTGGTCTACCTCGAATCAACACCCTCTTCCAGAAGGATAGGAGTACACTCAGCTTCGACAAGGGTTTCCGAGCACGAGCCGACTTTAAAATTTACCAGCTGATGAAGAGCAATCCTTTCTGGTGGACAAGCCAGCGGCACGACGGAAAATTGTGGAATTTGAACGCATATCGAACCGATGTCATCCAGGCGCTGGGTGGTGTTGAAACGATTTTGGAACACACCCTCTTCAAAGCAACAGGATTTCCATCGTGGGAGGGTTTATTTTGGGAACGAGCATCAGGATTTGAAGAGGACGCTAGGACCTATCCCTTTATTTTGAAGATATAAAACTAACTGTTGTTGCAGATCGATGAAATTCAAGAAGTTGACGAATGCGCAGAGGTCTGGTTTGAACCAGATCCCGAACCGACGGTTTACCCTGTGGTGGAGCCCCACTATAAACCGCGCTAACGTTTATGTGGGGTTCCAAGTACAGCTGGACTTGACAGGCATCTTCCTCCACGGAAAGATTCCTACCTTAAAGATTTCCTTGATTCAAATATTCCGTGCTCACTTGTGGCAAAAGATCCATGAGGCAGTCGTCATGGATCTTTGCCAGGTGTTTGACCAGGAACTGGAGTCGCTTGGCATTGAGACAGCGCAAAAAGAGACAATTCATCCTCGAAAATCGTATAAGATGAATAGCTCTTGTGCTGATATCCTGCTCTTTGCCAGCCACAAGTGGAATGTCACACGGCCATCTTTGCTGCATGATACCAAGGACGTGGTGGAGCCGACGACGACTAACAAGTTCTGGATTGATGTCCAATTGCGATATGGAGATTACGACTCGCACGACATTGAGCGGTACACGCGTGCCAAATATCTCGACTACACCACGGACAGCGCAAGTATCTACCCATCGCCAACCGGTCTCATGATTGGAATTGACCTTGCCTACAATCTGCATTCTGCATATGGAATGTACTTCCCTGGTCTGAAAGAGTTGGTTCAGCAAGCAATGGCAAAGATCATGAAGGCCAACCCTGCTCTTTATGTTCTGCGAGAGCGAATTCGCAAGGGTCTGCAGCTTTATGCTTCAGAGAGCAACCAGGAATTCCTCAACTCGAGCAACTACACTGAACTATTTAACGATAAAACACAGCTCTTCATTGACGACACCAATGTCTACCGTGTCACTATTCACAAGACCTTCGAGGGCAATTTGACTACAAAGCCAATCAATGGCGCGATCTTCATCTTCAATCCCCGCACCGGTCAGCTCTTCCTTAAGATCATCCACACAAGCGTTTGGGCTGGGCAGAAGCGTCTCGGACAGCTTGCCAAATGGAAGACAGCAGAAGAAGTCGCCGCGCTTATTCGCTCTCTCCCCGCAGAGGAGCAGCCCAAGCAATTGATTGTCACTCGTAAGGGCTTACTTGACCCTCTCGAGGTTCACTTGCTCGACTTCCCCAACATCTCTATCAGAGCATCCGAATTGCAGCTTCCCTTCCAAGCGGCCATGAAGATAGAGAAGCTTGGAGATATGATTTTAAGAGCAACTGAACCACAAATGGTTCTGTTCAACCTCTATGATGAGTGGCTCAAGTCTGTTGCCTCGTACACGGCCTTTTCGCGTCTTATTCTCATTCTGCGTGCGCTGCATGTGAACCCAGACAAGACTAAGCTGATTTTGAGACCCGACAAGACCGTCATCACCCACGATCATCACATTTGGCCTTCGCTATCTGATGAAGACTGGGTCAAGGTTGAAGTCCAGCTTCGTGATTTGGTCTTGAATGACTACGGCAAGAAAAACAATGTCAACGTGGCCAGTTTGACCAGCAGTGAAGTTCGTGACGTTATTCTGGGTATGGAGATTTCCGCCCCATCAATGCAAAGGCAGCAGGCAGCGGAACTGGAAAAGCAACAACAGGAGCAACAGCAGCTTACTGCTGTCACCACCAAAACGCAGAACGTTCATGGCGAGGATATCATTGTTACTACGACCTCCCAGTTTGAGCAGCAAACATTCGCGTCCAAGACGGAGTGGCGAACGCGAGCAATTGCGTCGGCCAATCTCCGATCAAGAGCAAAGAATATTTACGTCTCATCTGCTGATGATGCAGACGATGTTACCTATGTGATGCCAAACAACATTCTGAGGAAGTTCATCACGATAGCTGACTTGAGAATCCAAATTGCTGGATACCTGTACGGAGTTTCCCCCCCCGACAACCAGCAAGTTAAGGAGATCAAGTGTATCGTCATGATTCCGCAAGTAGGCGGTCTCCGGAACGTCAAACTGCCAAATCAGTTGCCCCAGAGCGATTTCTTGGAAGGCATGGAGCCACTCGGTATCATCCACACAATCGCAGGCAATGAGCTGCCCTACATGTCGGCAAGCGAAGTGACCGAGCACTCAAAACTTCTTGACGCTCATCAAGAGTGGGACAAGACGAACACTGTCACGGTCTCGGCGGCGTTCACATCCGCCAGTGTAACTCTCTCCGCTTGGGGACTCACTCCTCAAGGTTACAAGTGGGGAGCCGAGAACAAGGACATCCAGAGCGACCAACCTCAAGGCTTTACCACCACAATGGGAGAAAAGCGGAAGCTGTTGTTGAGCCCACGCTTCAAGGGCTTCTTCCTTGTACCAGAAGATGACCGTTGGAACTACCTCCTCATGGGCAATGCATTCAGCGGCATGTCTATGAAACCAGTCCCAGTCAAGCTTGATAATCCACTGCCGTTCTACAATGATCATCATAGACCCATTCACTTCCAGAGTTTTGCTGAACTGGAAGATATCTGGGTGGATCGATCGGACAACTTTGCCTAGACGGGTATTGTGTGGATGGATAGGGTACGTTTCCTTACCACCTGATTTGGTTTTCATTTGCTTTTGCACAATCGGGAGGCGGGATAATGGGAGATGATTCGAGAGGAGGAAAATGACAAATTGATTTCAGGCAAGCAGCCTGCACTATCTGGGTGCGAACGGCGTCGATTTGCAGTTAGGTTTGTAAGTTGTCAAATATGCATTTACGGGGTTGAGAAGCCCACTATTATGGGTTGTAATTTTAGAAGATGCTCAACGAAACGCAAAATATATAAGTTCATGACACACATACAATTCTTCATGCGTATACTATTGTTTGTGATGTCGTTCTAATTATTGTTTATGATATCGTTCTAATTATTGTTTGTGATATCGTTCTTATCATTGTCTCTTTGCATGCTTGATGGGCTTGTTGTTTACATGAAACCCCCCTATCCGGGGACCAAAGCTTAGATTTTGATGTCAGACAGAGACTTCGCTGCCGTAGTCAGTCAACTTCTCTTCACTTCTCCCTGGAGTCAACTTCTCTTCACTTCTCCCTGGAGTCAACTTCTCTTCACTTCTCTTTGGATAAAGTCACCATACTTTGAGAAATCTCTTACTAGATAGTCATCGCTACTATTGATGTCAACAGCTTCTCACCAGTGGTAGAACTCTTGACCAACTCCCAACTTTTGATGCGCCCCCGAAGAGAAGATGGAGTTCCTTGTGAGATTGGTCGGGGAAATTGTCTAGGGTCTAGGGCCCAGTGGTGTGTTTTCACCCTCTCTTGACGAACCCGACTACTTGTCCGGGGCCAAGCCGCCTGCCTACATCTTGCCCTTCACTTTCCTATCACCATCATCTATCCTAAATCATTCATCCTACGCTGCCTCTACTGGTAGTCTATGACTCAACTCATCTTAGTTTGCGTCTAGGACCAGATTATCATCAATCAGGCCTTAATTTTGGCCATTGTTGCAAACAACGCCGACAGTCTCCATTTCCCCAATCTTGCATAGGGGGAACCAACCTTGAGAGAAGTATAAAATGGCTGCCGAACCTTCAATTCCCACGCTAGGCAACAGAAATGCTGCATCTCTGAACGTGGAGAGCCTGGCGACCAGACTGCCTGAGATAGGCTCCTTAAAGCCCCCTTTTGGTCAAAACAATTTGCCCTGGATTCAATGGCAAGACATCTGCACTGACGCCGACTCCTCGGCTGACCAGTTGCGAGCATGGATGGTTTATTTGGTCTATTTGAGAGAGGCTATACACTGGGATGCCGATGACCACCAAGAGATGAGACAGTATTTGGCCGTCAGACGACTATACCGGTTGAAGGGCCTGAACCGCCTTGCCCCGAGCCGGACTTTGCAGTACTGCGCTGCTAACACAAGGGAAGAGAACTACACTTTGTCTATTGGTCATTTACTAAAGACACTCTATCCTACGCATCCAGTTGTTGAATTCTGGGCGCTTCACCGTCGTGTTTACCCTGGAGTTCCCGCAGGTGTATCGCGTTCAAAAGCCCCAGTTGAGACAACAGCAACAAAGCCAATAGAATTGGGATTTGGTGGCCTCGATTCTGAGGCTAGCCTGGCTTCGAGATCTCAACATATCGGAATAGATTCGTACCTCAATGAAATCCCGACCCATCTCACGAGCGAGCAAACTGCTTTCTGCATTTCAGGTTCTACCCCGATTTCAATGAACTCAGACCAACACGTTCAAGACTCCAACCAATTGACCTGTAGTATGATATGGAGGATTGGCGATGAAGAGAGAACAACCGACATCCAAGTTTCGGATGTGACGATGACTGGGACTAATCACGTCATTGTCCCATCGTCTCTATCTTCCCAAACCCATCACCGATATGAAACCTTCCCGAGCTCAGAATGTCACTGCCCCGCAAGAGTATTCGGAAAACCTGCAGAACTGTCACAGAATGCATCAATTGAATGTGGTTTATCCACTTCAATCCTTGAGAAGCAACCATACTCCAACAACACCAGGGTTGAGAATCGCCAGACCAAAAGAAGCACTGAAACTCACGGAAGTGTTTCTAATCATTCCGCCAGGCCGGGTCTCACCTCTGACAACCTAGTCACATCGCCTTCCAAGTGCCTGACAGATCACCCCGCTGCAACAGCAGAAACAGTAGGAGTCATTACCTTACCAGTGGGAACGGGGAGCCGGCCAACCTGGATCAAGCAAGTCTGAAACACCCTCTTGGGGAATTTCTTCTGTTTCAAATCTCCACGCTCAAGCAGGAAGTTCGTGAACTGCAGGCAAATCATGAAACCACCAATAGAGAAGTTGTCAGGCTTCAGAGGGAATCCGATGGGTCAAGTGTCGGACAAGGTGAACATAAAAGCATCATCGGCAAAGTGAGGGCAGCTTTGGCCTACATCTAAGACGCACATGGGGGGATCTAACCACCGACCCGCCCAATAGCTTTGGCTAATTTTATCAACTGGAACAAAAGAAAGGGGAAGGGAACAACATGAGAGCATTGGAATCCATGAAATATCTTGCTGTCGATGGATCTGCGAAGGGATTATACGATGACGTTGATCTTTGAAGCTACCAGCTTTGGCCTTATAGGCAAGGCCTTGATTACTGGCCTCTGGGCTCGTGTTTACTACCTGGAGATGTCAGGTATAGCTTATAGCTTTGTTTAATTTCCACTGCGGTGGTTAAGCTTTCCCTTGTATAATATGATCTCAACTGGTGACAGACCCCCTGAAGAAGTCTAATTGAAGATCCCTGAGAGATAGGAAAAGGATACGGTTGGGAGCCTCGACAGGTAGCAAAGACAACACGAGAAGTTTTCGTTAATTGCAGAAGCTATAGCTACTACTTACCCCTTTTTTGTCCACACAATATACAAAGCACACTCATCTCTACGAAGGCCGGGGTGATATTAGTGATGATTATGGCATTCAGCTCGCTTCGCAAATAGATTGCCTGCGTGTTTGCTATGTGGCGAGAGAGATTGATGACTCCGCCGTCGACGCGACTAGATGTTGGTTCGTACGAGAATTACGGCCTCGTAAGAGGACGCGTCGTGGCGTACAGGAGCAGAACATGGCGCAACCTTGCGGCGGAGCGGAGCTCGCGAGATTTAAGAGTGCAACATCAATAGCGTGTCAATCCACAGAGGCAGGCATTCGTCGTGCAAGGATGGCCCAGGAGGCGACCCGAGGGACCGGGTTCTGATCAGGATGACAGGTGACAAAAAGACTTCCGGACTATGGAGAAGGCCCCGGAAAGTATTCCCAGGTGGTCTACACGGAAGGAGTTGGAAGCTTTTTTCCGCAGTCGCCGCTCATGTCATCATGATTAATTGGATTCTGGCGATGCCGTAGCTGAGTGGCAGAAACAGCAAAGGGTGGTGGTATCGAAGCCGGCAGGCCAAGTTGAAGGGCTGGCAGTGCGCATCATCATGCCCGATTTGGTAACTACCAAAATGGCAAACAAGATAATTGTAATGACGGAGATTTCCAGAGCATTGTAAGTGCAGGCCGTTGTCCGGCCTTGACGTCGGGTCCTCCATCATCACGGACGGTGACGGTGGAGGAGTGAGCATCAAACCTTGTAGCGAAGCGGGATACTGCTTTGGTGCACACCCACTGGACAGTAATACATCATCTCCATAATCATGGTAATACCGACGTAAAGACAAAGCTGTAGGTTAAGCCTGTGCTAGCAGACGGCATCCCGGTCGAGGGATTGATGGATTGGCCAGACGCGCTCAATGCCTTAAAGAGACACTCCACTCTCAATTTCCTCTTGTCAGTCTGTGCTTAATCGAACAAGCACCAACACCGCCTTGCCTTGATTGGGGCAGTTTTTCCTCACAGATGGAGAGGTGCCATTGCGACTAGCAGTACAAAGTACGCACGCACGCACCGATGGCGACCAGGGTGGTTAATCACTCACAGACGGAAATTAGGCATTTCATGCGTCCATGCAGCCAGCGGAGGTTCAACTTGATTGCAATGACATTCTCCATGTGGAACGAACAGAGCACCCTTACTCGGGATTTGACCTGTGCAGCGTGGGCGGTGTCGAATGCGGGCAGCCGCCTGTGTCGGGAACGCGAACCCTGCCGCCCTCAAGGCGTTTTGAGCCTCGAGCCTATTTAATTGTTAGATTGGGCGGGCGCGTTCGTCGGGACCAGAGATGCTTACGTACGATGCCATCTCCCTTTCCAGTAATCGCAAATTGTAGCATGAACAGTTCATCAGATCCCGTGCGTCGGTTTATATTAGATATTTGGGAGATGCGCATTCTTGGGAGTATTGACGGTCAGTGCCACCACCACTTTCGGGGATGAGGGTTTCCTCCTGAGCCGAGTTCTCAATGTGGATGAGCACGTCGGTCTTGCGGTGTATTGCCCAGACGCGGGCCCAGGCTGGCGCTGATGCTCCATCTGCGCTGCGTGATATTTAGAAATGCCATGTCGGTGGGAACGTCGCGAGAGGCACATGTAAGGTCGGGACGGATGGCTGCCATAAAGGCCTCGTCGGCGTTAAGAGCCCAACACACATGCGGGCTGGGTTCTGGGGGTGGTATCTTCGCAAGATTGACTCCTTTTTTCCTGACCGTTAGGTAGACAGTCTGGCACTCTCGCGTGTCGGCGACAGAAGAAGTTGGAGTACGAAGAGGTTTCCTGCTTTCTGTGATGGAGGCCCATCACCGTGCATGGCCGTGACCTGTCAGTCTGTCAGTCTGCCAGTGGCTGCTGTCAGTGCAGAACCCCTGTGGGCTAGCGGGGCAGGCGCTGAGATAGCGGCGCCTATTTGGGAGGCGCGCAGCCGGTCATGCCCATTTCACAGGGCACGGTGCTTATTACCCAGCACCACCACACACAGCACTAGCGGCGCACAGGCCGTGGCAGGTACCAACCTTACACCTACGGTCCAGGTGGTACAGCGGCTGAGCTCACTGCTGCCAGGCCTGACCTCCACTGCGTCTGCGTGGGTTCCTGTGGCGGATGCACTTTCCTAGTGGCACGACCTCTTTGACTCCATCCCACTCCCACCACCACCCTCCACCACAATCACCACCCATTCCGTTCGCACACCGGTCGACACTGGAACCTCCTCTTTCCATCCATCCATCCGCCATCGTCCACTCACGACGAGCAGCTTATGCCCTACCCTGCCCAGCCGAGCCTAGCCTCGCCTTGTGGTCCTGCTCGGGCTTAGTCCTGGCCGCGGGCTGGCCTTCCTAAAGCTGTGCTTGCATGCATGCATGTAATTATGTATGTACATGTCAACCATGCTTTTCTTGACCACCTTCTTGCCTACCCGAGCTAGCACTAATCATGGGTAGCACGCTGCTCTACCAATCGAGCTGTGGGTGCATTGGTAGCCAGGTCCTGCTTCCCCAAATCGTAAATGAGCATCCCCTTGACTGCTTGTCTGGGAAAAGGACCACGGAGGGGAAAACGTGGTGATGGGCTCCATGGTCCAAACCATGATCCAATCAATCAGCCCAAGCCCATCCCACGATGCATCCATACCGTCGCTCATCAACCTTCTCGTTCGCCACTTTTAATTTCACGCTCACAATGACACGAGGTGGGGGAAGCAAGAGCACTGACAGGCTCGGGGCAACCGGCTGGCCCATCTTTCATCTGCACCAAGTTAACATCACAGGGCAGAGTCCAGCAAAGTCAGTCGGTGGCCGTCCTTAGCCGCATTCCTACGATGAGCTCGGGCCTTGGAGGGTCCTTCCCGTCCCTCTGGATGACCCAAGTCCCCGGGGGTATGGTGTCGTCCTGGCCTGCACTCGTGGCCTTGTCAGACCGGCATGGCATGGCATTTGTCGCCGTGGTGGAGGCTGCACACGATCGCATGTATTTCACAGCCAGGTCTGCCCGCCCGCAAGCACCAGCCCATTTTCCAGAACATCCATGCCACTCTTGTAGCCCAACATCACCTCACCTCCCCTACCCGCACGGGATGGGGATCGTGGCCTGCATCGCCGGTCAGCGCGCTAATCGGCCCCCCCAAGTAATCTACCCCTCCCCGTCCCCTCGTCCAAGCCAGTACCTGTCTCCCCGGGCTCACTGAATACCTCTGTTGGGTCATTTTGGCCATGATACCCGGATGCGCTGGGTATTGAGTGCTGTCTGCTGTGCTACACTGGTCAAAATCATTGGGTAGCACCCACAATTCTCCCTGGCGGCTTCCACAGTCTTGGCACAGCCCAGCCTGTCGGGCCCTTCATTGACTAAGGCACAAAGTAAGCTACCTATCTGCAGATGGTAGCATGGGCTAAATCTCTGATTGTCCTGTTTGTCATCTTCTGCCCGGACTGGGTTGTTGCTTCTGAAGTTCTGATACTAGCTGGGTTCTTCCCTCGAAGTCACGACGGCGAGGACACCATGCGGGACATACCAACAAAGCCCTGGTACCTGACAAGGCAATCGAAATCACCCAATCCCCGCCTCACTTTGAGTGGTTACTTGCGCGAGTAGTCGAAGGATCTTACATCGACCTTTGAGCAGAAGCGGAATCGAACGATTTGTCACCCTTAGCCTCGGTTATCCACACCCTTTTTTCTTCTTCTTGTTATTCCATCCCTTTCTCTCGATTTTATCGCTACACGCAACCTTCTAGGATGCTACGTGAAGATAGAGCGAGAGAAGTGGGGGAGAGAATCCGCGGCACTGCTCTATACCGCGTATAGTCACGATAGCTACTAAAACAGCTTAGGTTGGTGTGGTGCTTGGTACCTATCCTAACGCCTCCTGCCCGTCTCCCGCAGCGTCGGCGGCAGTTGGTGCTTGGGCATCTATCTAGGACTATTTACGATCGCAGTGGCGACCGTTGGATTTTCTTGCTTACTAGCTTGCTAGCTTAATCGCCTTAGGTAGATGGATGGATGCCAACGGCCAGAGTGACATTGTCGTTGGGCCCATAGGTGCCTTGTTAGTGTCCGGTGAGTTTTTCGTGCACCGCACCGCAAAGATGAAAGATCCTTGGTCTTTCGTCCAGATCGTTAATTGTGGTACGGCTCCTAATTCCTTTACCAGCTAGGTAGGACTCAAGGCTCTGATGGGGAGGGAGTCTAGCCACGGTTGCCCAGACTAGCCTAGCTGCTGGCATTTTGTGGCCGGCATATCCTTGCTTCACAACACTATTAAACCGGCACTCATTTGGCCCTACTCGTACGTATGTCCTCGTGGGCGCAGTGGTACGCCCCTCCCCCCCCCCTTCTTCACCCTCCGTCGAGCCCCGTCCAGCATCTTAGCCTTCCGCGGCCTGACAGATTCTCTTCCCAAAACCCACAGTGTTCCGAGACGATAGACATGGCCCATCACGCATGCTCTCTCGTCTCTCTACTAGTGACTAGTGCCGGGTCAGAATCCCCACGTCCATGGCCTGAGCCGGGCTCTCTCTCTCCATCTGCGCAGTGAACCCGGCACGCGGCCCTGGCAGCTTCGTCTGTCTTGCGAAGCTGGCTGCTATGCTGTACACATGAGGGCATGAAGCAGGAATCAGACGTTTCAGAGTGAGAGCCTGCCTCTCTGTTCTTTGGGCCCCAGCTTTTGCTTGCATTTTCAGCCAACTCAGAGGACAGGTTTGTAAGTAGTCCGAGCCAATCTGGGGAGGGAATTTATCATTCTAGCAGGGTCTGCTCGCTCAAGGGTGTGGATTTGGGTGCGTGCGTCTGCTTGCTTGTTTGCTTGCTGCCCCAGTTGCATCATCGCAGGGAATGACCAGGGTATCTTGGGCCCGCGACATGACATGTCTCTATATGCGGAAGCGCACAAGTCGGTAGCATAAGATCCTCATTATACACCCCTTGGCACCTGTCCAGGATTGGCCTGAGGTGCCCGCATCTTCAGGCTCTTTGACCCAGAAGAATATACCTGCACCTGCCCACGACATCACTGCATTTGTTCTAAACTTGTCGGTGTTGGGATACAGGCCGCTTCAAATGTATGCCGGCTGCTCCTCCCTCCTTGCCCGGCTCTTCACCAATCAACATATGTGTTGTGATGCGCGTACTTTGCAGCCACTGACGGTCCATATCATCCATTCCACTCCTTTGGGACCAAAACATCCCTTTGATTCTTTTTCAAATCACTCTGCCTACGTGTATCATTAATATCTGAGCTGTCCGGGCTCAGCCGTTCTCTGATCCAAACAGCGGTAATATTTGCGACCTCTCGGATCATCAGCCGGTGTTGATAACTGCCTTCTTTATCATTCCTGCTTCTTCTCTCAGCTCCTGCGCCCCAAAACCATACATATACTGCCTATCCCTCCTTCCCTTGCCTTGCTCTTACACACAGCCTAGCCTGTGAGTCTACCTGTATAAGTACATGGCATCTCTCAGGTCGACTTGGTGAGCTGCTCTGGACCATCTTTGAGGGGTAGTTCTTTGGATTCCACGCGACTAGCTGAAGAAAAGTAAAAGCAACACGGGATCCACGGTGTATTAAAAAAATCGATACTCGCGATATCACTAGTCCTTAGTGCTTGGCCATCACGGAGGTTATATTACCACTCACTTATAGCCGGCCTACCACGGAAAACGAGTCGTGAATAAACAAAAACAAGAAGGCAACCCCGCAACATCATTCCCAAGGTTTCCTCCTCCTCTCCCTGAAGGCCCGAGAGGGCACCATTGTACCAGATTACTTCCTTAGAGAGTCTGGCGACCGTCCAGAGCGGTTTGCTCTGGCGGGCTCCATGTATCGAGGCCACGCTGGCGGACAACTATCGAGTCGGGGACTACAATGTGGACTACCACGGTCAGGCGGCCCAGCTAGCTCACCAGAGCCAGGCCCAGCAGCATTATGACGCTCCGTCCCATCACCATCACCACCATACTCACCTCCCGCAGCATGGACGGCCGCTTCAACACCCTGGTGCCCCTAGTCCAGTCCTCCAGGAAGCGCCTCAGCACCCGCATAATGGAGTTACCCCAGCCCACCACCCTGCGATGCCCCATCATCACCACCAGCCTCATCCAGCCCAGATCTTGCTTGACCCGGCGCAGATGGGCCATCACCGCCTAGAGGCCACGCACTTCGAAACGCCCAACTCCGTGGTCTCGCCCATCTATCATAACATTCCCACACCGACATCTCAGACGCACAGCCATCACCATTCAACCGGGATCAAGAGACCAAGACCCGATGAGCTGGATGTCCACGCTCATGGCATGGCGCACCTGGACCAGTCCGGCCTCGGCGGCATGCATCACGTCTCCCCCGGAGGCGGACACTACGAACCAACGGGGACGCCAACTACCGCCATGGGCCCTGGACCGCCAACCCATCACCATCATCGACTTCCAGACTCTGAGCCTTCGCCAAAGCTAATGCGACGCGATGACGGAGGCGCGCCCAGTGTCGTTGGGCAAGTAGGCATGCCAGAGCCCGCTCCGCGACCAAAGGGGCCCAAGTTGAAGTTTACTCGAGAAGACGACCAGCTGCTCATCGACCTCAAGGAGCAGAAAAATCTTACGTGGAAGCAAATCGCCGACTTCTTCCCAGGACGATCCTCGGGAACCCTGCAAGTTCGATACTGTACTAAGCTGAAAGCCAAAACCAAACAATGGTCAGACGAGATGGTATGTTTTTCTTCCTCCCTCCCCCACGCGTCTCTCCTTCGAAGATGTTGCGTAGAGCAAATCGCGACTGCTCCCTGGCCACCACACCTCTTGGCCCCCTTCATCTACCCGTTGATGGTGTCTAACAAATAGCTAGGATATGAAACTCCGTACAGTATTAGAAGACTACGAAAACGAGAAGTGGCGCATAGTGGCAAGTAAACTAGGCACCGGATTTACCCCAGCCGCCTGTCGAGACCGAGCCGACCAACTATGGGGTGATGCTCCTGCTGATTTCGAGGCATCATCCCCAACTCAAGATGTTTCCGCGGCGGACACATCTGAAGTGATATACGCCCAACAACCGCAATGACAGCTTGCGGGTGTGGCCAGCACCGCTAGCACGTCCACGCCCCCTTACCGAGTCGTCGAGGGATACTTTTGATCTCTATCCCCCATGGTCCAGCCTTGGGTCTATCATTTGGACTTTTGCCAACCTTACGCAACACAATTCATAATATAGGCAACCGCACAAAACGACGAAAACATCAAAACCATTGTCGATATTGAAAATTTCCCACGACTCTCCTTTTGCACGACCAAACATTCAATATGTTTAATGAAATTTCCTTTCCTTACAACAATAACAACAACTTCTTCTTGTTACGCGGCTCAGACTGGCTACACGAATTTCCCTTCTTTGCTTTTTTCTTTTCTTTCAGGACTAGTTATTTTGGTTTTCATTTTCTTGTTTTCGGGGGGCACAAAAAAACAAATTTGGAGGTGTATGGAGGAATTTCTGGTCCTTTCAATGATGGTTGAGAATAGAATGGTCATTCTTTAGACGGAACACACCTTGGCTTAACATTACGAACATGTTCTTCCCTTTTATTTCTTCTTCTTTTTTTCTAACCCCCCCCTCTTACTCTATTATAACTGTTATCTATCTTTTTCTTTTCTTTTCACCACTCTTTCGTTAATATTCCACCTCTTACTTCTTCTAATACTTTTCTAAGAGTTGGGTTGCTGATCTGGTCGCTAGACCAGCGGCCCCCCTAGTTGATGGCTGTACGAGAAAATACACAATACGCATAGACACATATCGGATGATGAGTTGGAGCATTCCAACAAAAGGGTTTGTTTTTTCTTCTTCCCACTTGGAGATGGAAGAAGGGGAAAATGCATGTTTGAAGCTGGTGCCCTCCTAGCATTGTGCTAGGTGAGGCTACCTTGGTATATGTGCAACATATAGTTTTGACACTAAATTGAATAATTAGTTGAACGTCACGTCCAGGCTGTAACTTTTAACTAAGTCTTCCCATCCGAGTACTTGTATCTAAGGCGCTTAAGGAGTTTACAAAATCGTAAAGTACATCTAAGGTCTACGTAGCATGATTATTTAAGCAGTGCCTGGGCGAGTTCCCCCTGACTCAGTGCCCGCCCACCCTCAACAAGCGTGATGAGGTCGACGTGCGCCGTCACGTCCAGCTCCTCCTGGCCGAGGAACCTGGCCATGTCGACGATCCACCCGTTGAAGTCCCGGATCTCGGTGGGCTTGCCGGCCCGCACGTCCTGGAGCATCGAGCTCGTGTTCTCCTTGACCTTGTCGCCGACCGTCCAGAGCAGCTCCCTCAGAGGGTCCGCGCCGAACCGCCGGAGCAGGGCGTCCCGATCAACCTCCGGGGTGAGGATTTCGCTGCTGCTGGGGTGGCGGACGAGGGCCTGGAGGACCCTGCTCGTCTCGTCGAGGAGGCGGTCCATGACCTGTGATAGCACGCTGGTTCTTGACTCGAACAGGACGCCGTTTTGGCATCGCAGCAGGGCGCTTAGCGGGTTGATGACGGAGTTGATGACGAGCTTTTCCAGCTGGAGGACCCAGAGGTCGGGCCGCGGGACGAGCTGCGAGTCGAGGTGCGGGGCGGCGGCGATGCGGTCCATCAGGTAGTCTGCCCCCCCTGGGTTCTCCTTGCTGGGGAGCACGATGCCGACCTTGGCGTCGGCGAGGGAGGCGTGCGTGCTCCTGAACGGGCCGGTGGAGGTGACGCCGTGCGTGGTGATGCATGCGACGAAGTTGGGCGCCCCGTTGCCGCCGCCGGAGTAGCGGTGCGAGACGTAGGTCTGGCCGTGGGGGGGCCAGAGCTTGGACATGCCGTTCTGGGCGAATGCGACGGTGCTGGAGCCGTCGAGGTATCTCCTCAGGCGGTCGGCCTGGGGGAGGGCGGCGGAGGCCTTGGTGGCTATGATGATGTTGCCGATGGTGCGGCGGCGGGGCGAGGAGGAGGAGGAGTCCGGGCTGGGGGTGAGGATCTCGTGGGCGGTGCCGTGGTCCGGGGGAGGGGACTCGGTCCAGTACTGTACGTCAAAGTCCTTGTTTCTCTCCGTGGCGCCGGAGCGGGTGATCTCGATGCCCTGGCCGGCGTGCCATTGTTCCAGCAGCTCCCTCCGGTGAAGCACGAGGGTGATGGGGGGCGGGTTGGCGAGCTTGGAGAGGTAGCTGGCGTAGAGGCGGCCGAGGTTCCCGACGCCAAGGATGAAGATCCGGCGATCTAGATCATCTAGGATTCTGGGGGATGAGGCTCTGTCTGGAGTCCAGGAATAGAGCGTCGGGGCAGGGGTTTGGTCCTGGAGGAGGGTGGCAAGCCAAGGCGGCTGGGGTGATCCCATCGAGGGCAGATTAGCGGAGGCCGATATGCTTCGTTTGGATAGGGCTGGGGTTGGGATAAACGGCTGGTAAGAGGAGAGACCAGCCCGGGGCCGGCACCTTGCGGCAGTGTGAGTGATAGTAGACCGGGTGTTGTTGGTAATGAGTAGTCGCATTGTCAAGCTTAGGACCTTGTAAATGGCATGACGGTTCCTGACTGAGAGGAATTGTTGTGCTGTGACGCTCAGACTGCTCCGCCTGTCAGTTTAGATCTGGCGTTAGAGTTGAGGTAGTGACATGTAATTAAGCAGCGGAAAGCAATTAAGGTGCCGAGTGGTTCGTTTCGCTCTACTCCACACTGATAATACTTTTATACTTTGCGGATTATCTTATAGAACCAGAGCTAAGACGATATAATGAAGCATGCTAAGGTAGATCGCTGGGTCCGAGGCTATATTTCTCTATTTATCAATCTATACTCGGATCGGGGAATTATATCCGAACTGGATATTAGTTTATTGCGTTCAAATAAGAAACTCCATAGACAACAGCAATGGCAACTAAGACTCAGTCTTTTTGGACGCCGAGCGGGTCCACGGAGAAGATGGTTCCAGCCAATAAAAATACAGCTCTGTTGCCTGGCAGACTCGAAGGGCGCCACTTGCCGTTTCTTTCCTAATCTCGATCTAGGCCTGGATTAGTAATTAGTCATTGCAGTGGCGGATAATAGATTTGCTCATAGCGCCTCGAGCCACTGTCTGTATTCAGCCTGGGCGCCTGTGCTAACCTGGCTGGGGACTGATGCCTTTTTCTCACGCCCTTGAGTGAATCATCCATTACATTCTCACTCTCGCGGGACTTCATCACGCCCTCTTTCTTTTCCTTTCCTTTCTTTTCGGCGTCGCCAAAATTGAGGCTCACGCATTGGGATGAGATAGACTTCGCCCGCCCTCGGGTTTTCTTCCTTTTCCCTTCTATATCCCGTTCTCCCGCCTCATCCTCACGCTCGTTCTTATATTCGCAACACCATATATCAGATCTACCGTCAGTCCTCGACAGTCCTGGTCCTCAGACCAGTGAACCGCAGAGTCGGGTCTCATTTCAAGTATATGAGACCGCACTCTATTGCGCAGAGGCTATCCAGTCATGGAATCAGAAAATGCCACGGTCTCTACGGAGAATGCTGGTGCACCAACTGTCGATGAGGAGGATGTTCTGAAAAATTTGACCGGTGCTGTGCGAGATCAGGATGATCTGGAGCGTGACATCACCCTGCAGGCCAACGCAGTATTAGTGGAGGCCGAGGACAAGAAGGATCAGGCTCGCATCGACAAGCTGGAGGCTACGAAGCAAAGGGTCCAGAATCAGCTTGACAAAGAGAAGAAGCAGTACGAAAAGTTCGCTGGTAATCCTTACAAGTCCCGGATCATCCTCAAGGATATCGTCAAGTTCGAGGAGGAGATCAAGCAGGTCAGCAAAGACATTTCGGATTTCAAGTCACGCATTGAAAAGAGACATGTCGAAAATCCCCTGGACGCAGCAAATGCGGCAAGTTCTAAGAGACATGCCGGCGAGAGCCAGCGAGACTATCTCATCCGTACAGGGAAAATCACCCCCTTCGCAAAAATCGGGGGTCCCCGTCCAACTGAGTTGCAAGGCGAGCTGGCCGAGACGATCCTCAATGCGGAAGACGATGCTGCTGCTGAGGAGTTGGGCGATGGGAATGAGGAAGGCCCAGTATCACATCAGATGCTGAGACGGCCAGGATTCGCGGATGAGGTAGAGGAGCAGTCATCTAGATCTGCTTCAGCAGTTGAAAGTGAATTTTCTCTGAGGCCTCGGAAGAAGCAGCGTCTGCATCATCGGGCAGACCGCTCAGAACGCAGCCCCTCTGCAGAGTTCAAACCAGAGCCAGACTCGGATTCGGATGGCGTCGATGGAGTATGGCAGCAAGGCAATGAGGATGACCTTATTCGCGAGGACCGTCGAAAGTCGAAAGCCAAGGCCAAGGCTCAAGAGCAGGAGCAGGTCGATCTCAGCAAAATAGACGACGGAAATGAATACATATACCAGAAACGGTTGAAAATTTGGATTGAACGACGGAGCCGCGCCAGGAAGTTGAGACGACAGAAGATGGCTGAGGCTGAGGCGGACGCACAAGACAGTGACCCCGAGGTGGACGAGTGGTTCAAACCTGCACCAGATAAAGCAGACTACCGTGTTGATGAGGGTCTCAAACTACCAGGCGATATTCATTCGGCGCTTTTCGGCTATCAGAAGACGGGTGTGCAATGGCTGGCAGAACTGTACAGGCAGCAGGTCGGTGGTATTGTTGGCGACGAGATGGGCCTTGGCAAAACAGTACAACTCATCGCCTTGGTCGCCGCATTGCACTATAGCAGACAACTTAGACGCCCCGTTTTAGTTGTCGCCCCGGCGACATTACTCCGACAATGGGTAAGCGAATTTCATCGATGGTGGCCGCCTTTGCGAGTGGCAATTCTTCATTCGTCAGGAAGTGGAATGCTCAACACCGAAAGGGAGGATGATTTCGATCTGGATTCCTTCAAGCCTGCTGTTCGCAAGTCCGGTAGCTCTCGAGCTGCCCAAAGAATCGTCAAAGGCGTTGTTGAAAAGGGTCATGTTTTGGTCACTACGTATACTGGATTGCAAACATACGCCAACGAGCTCTGCCCGGTCGAGTGGGAGTATGCTGTTCTTGACGAAGGCCACAAAATTCGAAACCCTAATGCTGCCATAACAGTCACTTGCAAGGAACTCAATACTCGCAACAGAGTTATCTTATCCGGTACACCGGTTCAGAATAACTTGACAGAACTTTGGTCGTTGTTCGATTTCATATCCCCTGCTCGATTAGGGACTCTTCTCGAATTCAGAGAACAGTTCGAGATACCAATCAAGCACGGAGGATATGCGAATGCATCCAACTTCCAAGTGGTTCAGGCTGAGCAACGGGCTGAAATTCTCAAGGGTGCTATCAGCAAATATCTGCTTCAGCGACTGAAAGTTGATGTTGCAACTGACTTACCCGAGAAGACGGAGCAAGTCTTGTTTTGCAAACTTACGGATAGACAACGTGATGCCTATGAAAGGTTTCTGAAGTCTGATGAGGTATCCCAAATATTGAATAAGCAACGGCAGTCTCTATACGGAATCGATGTTCTTCGAAAGATCTGCAATCATCCAGATCTGCTTGACAAGAATCTCAGCTCCAAGGCCGGATACGAATATGGCAGCCCAAATCTTTCCGCCAAGCTCCAGCTTACGATAAGCTTGCTTCAACAAGTCATGATTCCTAATGGTCACAAAACTCTCCTGTTTTCCCAGGGGAAACTCATGTTGAATATCATTGAGAAATGTATAAAGGAACGTGACATCTCATACGTCCGAATGGATGGCGAGACACCGATTGAGCAGCGCCAGCCCATGATTGACAAGTTCAACGAGGACCCCAATATTCATGTTTTCCTAATCACAACGCGAACTGGCGGCCTGGGCACAAATCTCACCGGTGCAGATCGAATCATCATATTCGACCCGGACTGGAACCCATCGACCGACTTGCAGGCTCGAGAACGCGCTTGGAGACTTGGCCAGGATAAGCCTGTCAAGATTTATCGTTTGATGACCGAAGGAACAATCGAGGAGAAGATCTACCACCGCCAAATATTCAAACAGTTCATGACAAACAAAGTTCTGAAAGATCCGAAGCAACGTAGCTCATATGATTTGTCAGACCTGTACGACTTATTCACATTTACCCCCGGGGAGTCAGCGGCCAACCAGCGAAGCGCCATCTTTCAGGGCGCTGAAGTTGAAATATCAGGGCGGGAAGGTGGTTCTAACAAAGACAAGAAAAGCCAGACCAATGGCTTGGCTAAAGAGAAGGACGTGGAGAGTTCGGCGCTCTCCAAAATGGAAGGTGTAGCAACCTTGGAAGAGTTCAAGGAAGATCCATCAGTCCACGATGAAAAGCGTATGCTCGATGGAATCTTTGCTCGGAATGTTGGCAGTGCGTATGACCATGAGCAGATTGTGAATGGCAAGCAGAATGTCAAACCTGACATTGAAGTCCTCCGCAAAGCTGCCAAAGAAGAGAGCCGCGAGGCTGTGGCCCATCTTCGCCGAGCCGGTGCACAAGCGGACAGCATGCCAGCCGGAACTGTTACCTGGACTGGTGAAGTAGGTCATCGACCCGGGTCAAACCGCCGCCGTGGGGGCCCAAGCTCTGCTGGTGTTATGAACAACCTGGCGGGCAGGCAGGGACTGAACAGCTCAGAGGGGATCAACAAAAACATGAAGGCCAAGGACTTTGTTCCCATGATCAAAGAGTTTATCAATCGTCAGGGAGGCAAGGTTGTGACCAAGATGCTGGTCGATCACTTTAGCCCGTATTGTAAGGGCAAAAAGCAGAACGAAGAATTCGAACGCGCTTTGAAATCCGTGGCCGAAATATCACAGCGTGGAAGCTATGGGAGAGCCATGTGGTCGTTGAAAAAGGGTGGGAATTAGGAAGGACAGGTGTGCTTGGTACACATTTTCCATTACTATCACTTAGATCGGGGTTCACATCAAGACAGGAAAGCGAGGAGTTACAGGATTGAATGTTTTATTTTCTGATCCCATAGAGTGCTCTATCTTTTTTTTTCTTATTTGCAGCCAGAATTGACTCTCTCATAAACACCTTATTTTGTTCTTCATGTTCTCATCGTCTTGCCAACATCACATCTTGTCTCTTGCTCACGAGGGTCATTTGTCTGACAGGGAGTACTTGTTCATGGTGCCTACTTTGGGCGAATTCATAACTGTCTACTTGGTTTGCGACTTCTCCCCTAGCCCACTAATAAAAGAGACCCGGTGAAAGCAAAAAGTAGAATGGAGACCAGGCGAAAATTGCCGTTCTCCTCGTATTTCTCAACGCCACAAGAGAAAACCAGATACCGATACTCCCCACCCGAGCCGTTCCAGCCAGCGATCTCTGAGCGCCAGCAGCTTAGAGACGACGACCACGGCGACCACCCTTTCTGCGGGTAGAGTCGGAGGGAGTAGGGGTAACGTCCTCAATGCGGCCAATCTTCATGCCGGCACGGGCCAGAGCACGGAGAGCGGACTGGGCACCGGGGCCGGGGGTCTTGGTTCCGTTACCTGTAAAGCAGAAAAGTCAGATTTAAAGAGTTCCTCCATCCATTCTGTGAGCCAGTGTCAACTTACCACCAGTAGCACGGATCTTGATGTGAAGGGCGTTGATGCCGAGCTCCTTGCATCGGGTGGCGACGTCCTGGGCAGCCAACATGGCGGCGTAGGGGGAGGACTCGTCACGGTCAGCCTTGACCTTCATGCCACCAGTGACACGGGTGATGGTTTCGCGACCACTGTAGATATGCGCATTAGCCACAAACGTCCTGCCTGGTCGATTTTCGCTTTGCTGTCGAATATGAGGGTATAGACGAACCTGAGATCGGTGACGTGGACGAAGGTGTCGTTGAAGGAGGCGAAGATACGAGCAACGCCGAAGACGAGCTCGCCTATATTGATTGTCAGTCAACCATTTTCAAGATCTGGAATTGTACAACGACGACCGTCGATGACGAGGGGATTTCGTACCATCGCGGGCGGAGGGGCCGAGGGAGATGTTCTCCGCGGGGGCACGGGCGACCTTCTTGGGAGGCATGTTGGATTGGCGACGTCTGGGATTCTTGTGACGACTGGGACTGGTTCAAGGAAGCGATTCACGAACCGAAATAATGGTGTTGAGCCAAATTGGCGGTGGAGGTGGGTGGCCCCTCAGGCGGTGGGGTGTGGCAGAAAACCTGCACGCAAAATTGTGATGTGGTGGGCGAGCCCACTTGAGAAAAAAAAGCCCTGCCCTAGAATTATCTGTGGTGCAGGGAAGGAGCTCCACTCCAGTGAGGAAGAAAAAAATCCAAACGGTTCCAGTGCAAGATCTTCCTCTTGTCTTCTTCACGCCGCCGTCAAGTACTAACCGACATCAACGCCAGCCGTCACCGACAAAATGAGTGCCACGTATGTTATTCTTTCCTGATGGTGCGAATGAGGACGATTGCCCGGCTTCAAGAAATATGTGCAGATCGTCGTGGTCCTTTCGCTGCGTTGTCGATGTTGCTCCCTCTCCGTGAGGGAAGACTCGCCTAGCCAGCTCGATCTTTCTCAGGCTTCTCCCTCCATTCTCCATACCTGCTTCGGTGCTTGGGAATGGAGAGATGTCGTCTGAGGTGTTGGAGATGAATTGCGCAAGCTGTTCTCTCTAAAATTTATTGTTGCGCTTCCGGCTCTGGGCACGGTGAAAACCTGCCTCAATGCCACTAAAAGCCTTCACTCAATTCCTGAACACCTCGTTTGGGGCTTTGTCGGATGAGAGTTCAGCAATTGGCCTAGCTTGGAAACTTGCCTGCCGTTGCTGCTCACCGATCAAATTCATCTCGAGTTAGCCAACGCGGAGAATGCGGCTACGCTGCAGTTCTCGCACCGGCGCTCTACTACTCATACCACACTCGGTATGCCGGACTACGTACTGATTTGTGATAATAGCTCCGTCCCCACCAACGACCAGATCCTGGTCCCTGAGACTCTCCTCAAGAAGAGAAAGAGCCAGGAGAAGGCCCGCGCTGAGCGCACTGCCCTCATCGAGAAGAAGAAGGCTGTAAGTAAAGAATGATAATGATTCTCTCGCTTCACACTACATGATGCATATCACATTTCATCAACTAGACATTGTCAATGCTGTTGATCAATTAACCTTCTTTCGGGTCTGATTCCGTTTGACACAACACATTCATTTTGCATCCCATATCTGATCGATTGCTAACTGAATGAAAAAAGGCCAACAAGGAGAAGCGTGGTGTCATCTTCAAGCGTGCTGAGAAGTACGTCAAGGAGTACCGCGACACCGAGCGCGAGAAGATCCGCCTTGCCCGTGCTGCCAAGGCCGATGACTCCGTCTACGTCCCTGCTGAGTCTCGCCTGATCTTCGTCGTCCGTATCAAGGGTATCAACAAGATTGCCCCCAAGCCCCGCAAGATCCTCCAGCTCCTCCGTCTCCTCCAGATCAACAACGGTGTCTTCATCAAGGTCACCAAGGCCACCACTGAGATGCTCAAGGTTGTTGAGCCCTGGATCGCCTACGGTTACCCCAACCTGAAGTCCGTCAAGGAGCTTGTCTACAAGCGTGGATACGGAAAGGTCAACAAGCAGCGTGTTGCCCTTACCGACAACGCCATCGTCGAGGAGTCTCTCGGCCAGTACGGCATTGTCTGTCTTGAGGATCTCGTCCACGAGATCTTCACTGTCGGCCCCAACTTCAAGCAGGCCTCCAACTTCCTGTGGCCCTTCAAGCTCAGCAACCCCAACGGTGGCTTCCGCCCCCGCAAGTTCAAGCACTTCATTGAGGGTGGTGACCTTGGCAACCGCGAGGAGGCCATCAACGCTCTCATCCGCCAGATGAACTAAAATGGATGTGATAAGATAGGTTGATTTAATGGGACTGTTAGCTGCACTCAAAATTGGCTTGGTTGCTCGGCGTTCAGATATGACAACGGCTTTGTGAAAAAATGATATCCTGATGAATGACACTTCAGATTCCCATAACAATATGTGTGACAACAAGTGATCTGTGACAAGTTGTAGTAATAAATGGCGCCATCTAGATGCTAGTCAAAGTGTACAAGATTCACCAAGTCCTTTGGCGTGGCAAATGCTAGGGAGTTGCTGCGAAGCTTTAGGCCTGGGTATAATATTTTTCTATCTGATTCGGCAATTAGGGTAGTGGGCCGTTCCCAGCTACATCTTGATGTCAAAACTGGTTCCGCATCCGCAACTACTCGTCGCATAAGGGTTGTCAACGATCTTGAACTGCGAACCAATGAGCTCCTGTGTGAAGTCGACCTTACTTCCCTTCAGGAGATCCAAGGATGGCTCGTCGAGAATGATCCTTGCTCCTTCTGGGGTGGGTGCAGCGCCTGCATCATCCGCAACGAACTGAAAAATCGTATCGTCCTCATTGACGACGGAGGAATTGTTCTGAAGTTCCCCGGGCGGGATAGTAATGAGGCTCATGAGGTATTGAAATCCATGGCAACCGCCGCTTTCGACTTGGATTCGTAATGCAAGGTTGGGGTTTTCGTCCTTGGTCATGATTTGGGATAGGCGCTAGTTCTGTCAGTTTAGGTTGAACTACAGTTCCATTAGGTTTTCCAAACAAACCTTTGCTGCGCGGGGGGTGATTTCAAGCATCATCTCGCTGCCATCCTCATCCTTGACAGGGTTTTTAACGCAAACCGTTGTCGGTCTGGGGATCGTCGTGGCAAACGCTCGCCTCGAGTCATGCCGTACGACCAGCTTATAGGACTGCGGAACGGCCGTTCGTATGTTGGGAGATGGCGCCCAGCGTGGGACAAGAAAGTCGAGGGGTGGCGACGATTTTTGAGCCGACGCCGTGGTTGAGGAATATCTGCGGATGGCAATGTTGATGAAGGATCGAGCCGTTGAAGGCGATCTGGTGCAACGCACGGGCACCATGGCGGGAACGCTCTAAGAATTAAAGATATATTATACAATTATGGAAACAGAGGAAAAGACCCTGGGCTTTTTTTTTTTTGTCGGGATCGGAGGGCGTTGCATCAAATCTGAGGCGGCTTCAGCGAGGGACTGCATGTTATAGCCGGGCTCGCTCGTCCTCGGTGGGCGGCTCGGAGCAGGCGCTGACATAAGCAACGGCCAAGGGGGGCCTTGGAGCCTTGGGCAGCCAATGGTGGGATGTACCTTATCGCTAAGCCCCAAGTTGAATGCCCCCACTTTGCCCACCAAAATCACCAATTTTCGACGTTTTCCCTAGATTCAACCCCGCGCATCTGTGAATTTTCGCAGCCCTGGTTTTTGCCCACGTCTAGGAACCAGCGTCAACGGATCACCAGCCGACAGCCTCGCAAACCGAAGACCCGAAAAAAATCGCAAAAATGTCTTCTCGATTTTTCCGTGGCGGAGATGACAGCTCCTCTGAGAGCTCCAGCGACGAGGAGGAGCTTCTCACTGAGGAGGAGGAGGACGACCACAACCAGCAGGACGCCTCCGAGGAGGACTCTGACGATATGGGATCCGACGAAGATGATAGCGACAGCTCTGATGACTCTGAGGAGGGCGCCGGCAGATTCTTGAAGAGCGGCGCTGACTCCGACAGCGACGAGAGCGACGAAGAGGTTCGAGCCAAGGTGAAGAGTGCCAAGGACAAGCGCCTGGACGAACTCGAGGCATCGATCAAGCAAATCGAGAACGGTCAGAAGAACGGCGACTGGACTCTAATCTCAAGTGGTACGGAATTTTCGAATTTTCCCCCTTTCCCTCAGGGGTGACTCATTTGGTGTGCATCTTCATGCAAATGGGACTTTTGACTGACACACGGATAGAATACGACAAGCTCAACCGCCAGGTTACCAAGCTGCCCGGCGGCAAGACCCCCAAGCCTTACATTCGAATTATCTCTGAACTCGAGGACTTCATGAATGAGGCTCTTGCTAAGCAGAAGGTCACCCCCAAGAAGATGAACGCCACCCAGGCCCGAGCCCTCAACGCCGTCAAGCAAAAGATCAAGAAGACCAACAAGGACTACCAGACCGAGATCGACTCCTACCGTGCGAACAAGGATGAATTCATGGAGTCTTCCGAGGAGGAGGTGGCTCCTGCCCCCAAGCCCAAGAAGACTGTCAAGATTGAGCTTGACGAGGCTCCCGAGGTCGATGGCGACGATGGCTTTGCTACCGTCGGCAAGGGTGGAAAGACTCTCACATACACGCCCGAGAGTATCTTTAAGCACCTTCGAGGGATTATGGAGTCTCGTGGTAAGAAGAACACAGATCGCCTGGAGCAGATTGGTGTGATGGAGAAGCTGCTCGAAATCGCCAACACCCCCTACCAGAAGATCCGTGTTCTGCTGACCATCGTATCGGCACGCTTCGATCTCGGCTCAAGCATTACCAGCGCCATCCCTGTCGAGCACTGGAAGTCGGCTGAGAAGGAGCTCCTGACTCTGCTGACTGTACTCGAGGAGAGCCCAGAGTACATTGTCGTTGAGAGCGCAGAGGAGTGGGAGGATGACGAGAAGCCCCCTACCCTGCAAGCTGGTGAGAAGTACATCAAGGTTGCTGGCAGCATCGTCTCATATGTCGAAAGACTGGACGATGAACTGAACCGATCTCTTCAAGCCATTGACCCCCACACTTCAGAGTACGTTGAGCGCTTGCAAGATGAGGGTGCCTTGTACAACGTCATTGTCCGTGGTCAGTTATACTACGAGCAGCTCCGCAAGGACAAGGACCTCGACATTTCCCAAGACAGCATCAACCGCATCATCATGCGAAGACTGGAACACAACTACTTCAAGGTGAGATTTGATCCCCATCCCCCATCCCACTTGCTTGAATATTGTTACTGACTGGATTTTGATAGCCTGCCCAAGTTATCAAGACCTTTGAGGAGAACCTGTGGAATGCCGTCACTGAGAAGGCCGAGTCAGCCATTACTCCCCGCAGCGAGTCCAGCGATGCCGCCAACCTGGTCAACGTTCTCTGCAATTACCTGTACAGCAACAGCGACGGTATTATCCGTGCCAGAGCTATGCTGTGCCAAGTCTACTTCCTCGCTCTTCACAGTGACTACTACAAGTCTCGCGACATGATGCTGATGTCGCATCTTCAAGAGAACATCCCCAACTTCGATGTTCAAACCCAGATTCTGTACAACCGTACGCTAGTCCAGATTGGCCTCTGCGCTTTCCGCAAGGGCCTGGTCTACGACGCCCAAAACACTCTGCAGGAGATCTGTGGCAGCGGTCGCCAGAAGGAGTTGTTGGCTCAGGGTGTGATGATGCAGCGCTTCAACCAGGTATCACCTGAACAGGAACGCCTGGAGAAGCAGAGGCAGCTGCCTTTCCACATGCACATCAACTTGGAGCTGCTGGAGTGCGTCTACCTCACCTGCAGCATGCTTCTCGAGATCCCCCTGCTTGCCCAGACCGGCTCTTCCCCCGACATCAAGAAGCGCATCATCAGCAAGACCTACCGTCGTATGCTGGAGTACCACGAGAGGCAGATCTTCACTGGTCCCCCTGAGAACACCCGTGACCATGTGATGCAGGCCTCGAAGGCTCTCGCGGCTGGTGAGTGGAAGAAGGCCACCACTTTCATCCACAACATCAAGATCTGGGACCTCATGCCGAACACCGAGGAGATCAAGACCATGCTCTCCAAGCAGATCCAGGAGGAAGGTCTACGGACGTATCTCTTCACATATGCTCCCTTCTATGATACCCTCGCCGTTGAGACTCTCAGCGGCATGTTCGAGCTGGACGCCACCAAGGTCTCGGCTGTGGTGAGCAAGATGATCAGCCACGAGGAACTGGCCGCCTCGCTCGACCAGGTCACGTCAAATCTCATCTTCCGCAAGGGAGTCGAGCTCAGCCGCCTGCAATCCCTCGCCCTCACCCTCTCAGACAAGGCCAGCGCCCTCATCGAGACCAATGAGCGCACGCTGGAACAGAAGACACAGGGCTCAACGAACGCATTTGAGCGCGGCGGCGGCCGTGGACGGGGAGGCCAAAGATCGGGTCAACGACCCGGCAGAGGCGGAGCTCGCACAGGTGGCAACACCCAAAGGCAAGCAGGCGGCACACAATTTACGGGGGGTGCGCTGGGAGCTGCTGTCAGGGGTTAGAATGCATGAAATGGGGGAGGCGTCTAAATATATTCCTTTGATGTGGTTGCATGATATGGTTTGCTTTAATGAAACTGAAAAATGGCCCAAGGACGCACAAGGCGCTCTCGCCAATGTCTCTAGGATGAATGGAATACATGGTTATAGATACCTGTTGCCTCTTGTGTGATGTGCGTAGAGCTTCTTGTGATTGATCGCCAGCTCAGCTCCGATGTGCTTATCCTATCAAAACGGCTGGATTCTAATTAGGACGGCGAGTGGACAGAAACAGCCTCAGCTAAAATGTGAGTATCGATCGCACTTTCCTTTTCTTGTTGGAGGCTTGGCTGATTGGCACTTACCTTGGTTCAACCCCTTCGGTGGTTCTTTCCTCATTAGCGAAGACGGAGTACCCAGACACAGAAAGACCCAACAGAAATTGACATTGGCTTCCTCAACTCTCACTCGTTCATCCCTCAACCATTACCGAAAAGAAGTAGGCAGGCTGCTCGCCGCCCGTCTGTAACCATGTCCTCATGGGAGGAATTCTTCGACCAGGTGTCCGACGGCGGATTTTCAAAGCTTTGCGGCGAAACAGATGCATCAAGAGAGCCACTCACCGCTGAGGAAATGGTCAAGTTCAAGGAATGGGTGTCAACTCAGCCCCGGATGCCCTCGACACGGGTCACCGAGGCTTGGATCAAAGCGAACTTGAATAAGGTAGTGCCAATCGCCGGTTACACCAAAATGCTGCTAGAAATGGTAGTTGCCCAATTAGCATCCGATAGGCATCTGGTCAGTAGTCGACTCATCATGATAGAGCACATCCAAGAATCATACTTGACTCAAAGAGGAAGCAAAACTGACCCTCGATAGAGCCTTGGTGGGGGCGATTTGAAAGTTCCCGGCTTCGGTCTGCCACTGAGTCGTCTCCCAGTTAGTGCTAAGCGGTTCCCCGTTCTCGTCGGAAATCAGGATCTTGACTGGAAAGCGAATACGTTGTTGATTCGGGAGGCATGCATGCTTGAGGTGATGGAAATATTGACCAATAGGCCCGAGTGGTGGGTCAAGGTGTTTGACTCTGAAATCACAACAACGTGGAAGACGCAGGTCTTGGGAATAGACTGGGCCCACTACCTAGAGCACGCAGACTTCACACCCAATATGGTAGACCTGGTGAGCATCTATTTGAACCGTCCCGCATATTGATGATACACATCTTCCAGCATGGATTACTGACATATCCATGGGGATTTCTCCCAGTGCATTAACGAACTACGCACAAAGGCAGCGTTATACGAGAAAACTGGTCTGATACCCATCATGGACTACTCAGCTTGTGCGATCAAATCCGATAGCCTGATATCTGCGGAACTTGCACAATCCTTGAAAGATACTGTCAGATTCCTTGAGGAGGTACCAGAGAATGAAAAGGACTGGCACCCAGGCAGTGATAATAAGGTTCTCGATTTGGTTCACCCATCGCTCTATCCCCTAGCTTACGGCTTAACTCGGGTGCTTGTTGAAAAGAGCATTGGCATCTCCGATGCTCTTGAGCACTGCGGCACAGGAACCATCCTGCCAAAACCATACCCTGTCGAGATCTGCGGTCAACCCGGGCCATATGCAGAGACTAAACTACCCTCTCTGTCGGAGAAGTTCCAGTGGTTGCCCTGCGATGTCGACATCTCGACGGACGGTGCTGCGAAGATCGCCAGCTATATCAACAACTTACATCCGATTCATCATGCTGATATGTACCCTATCATCGAGCGCTTCATCGAGAAAGCTCTTCCCGCATGGGACATTGTATACCGATGGCCAACAGAGTTTGATACTCAGCGTCTCACAACTTCCAAAGTCAGACTCATGTGCACCACTAAGGACCTTTGCCATGGACGGAATCAATGCAGAGCCTCCACTCGACCTCTCAATGATGGAGAGCCAGAGCGGGACGAGGACGAAGAATGGGAAGATGGGTATGAAGAATCTGTGAGAGGTCAACTGGATCGAGAATGGTTTGAGCGCACGCATCGACCGGACGTCCCTGATGTTGATCCAACAAAAGGCACGGTTCGGCTCACGGCAGACCATGTCAAGAAGAGGGGCTTCTTCAACAGCGCGTCTCGTATCCAAGTTATCGTCAAACTCGCTAATATTCACTTGAATCCAAACAACCCAAAGTACGAGGGTGGCGCCTGGCACATTGAGGGCCAACTCAATGAACACATCTGCGCGACGGCTTTATTCTATTATGACAGTGACAATATCACAGAATGTCACTTGGCTTTCCGCACTCGTGCCGATCGTGAGAATTTGATGGGCAATCTTGACTACGCACAGAACGACGAAGACTCCATTGAATGGGCTTTTGCCATTGATCCCCAAGGGAATACCCTGCAGGTTGTTGGCACGGTCCTTACACGCCCTGGGCGGTCTCTGTTCTTCCCTAACGTTTACCAACACCAAGTCTCGTCTTTTGAACTTGCCGATCCTTCACGAGAGGGTCACCGCAAGATCCTCGCCCTGTTTCTTGTCGACCCGGCCATACCTATCCTCTCTACTTCTAGCGTGCCTCCGCAGCAGAAGCACTGGTGGGCTGAAGCCTCAAAGATTTATGCAGGTGGGGGACGTTTGCCTCCCGAGCTGGTAGCCATGGTAGCAGATCATGTAGACTTCCCAATCACAGAAGATAAGGCGAAGCAGATCCGCAGGCAACTGATGAGGGAGAGGTCGGTACTACAAGAGGATATGAACCGGGGCCTCAATGTAGAATGGAATTTCAGTGAGCATTAGTGGGTAAAGCGAGGCTTGAAGCTGTCAAATGTAATACAAGTAAGTGTAACTAATCCAGATAATACCAATACCTTACTGCCAGGAACAATTCAAATATCCTTGTTGATGCTGAATAAGTTTGCACTGTCCCTTTATCTTCTTCTGCTGTCCAAAGATAAGGATGCCTATTACCTCGGTCTTTCGGAGCCCATCATCCGTATTGACCTCATCCTCAAGAGCTACAGGACATATTGATGATGAGGAATTGACAATACGGAGATAGGTAGATAAAGATCCGTCTAACCCCGCCGCTATGCTTTTGGTTTTGATTTGATTGCGTGCTGCTCCCTCACCAGCGCCTTAATGTGAAGACCCCGCTATTCCCTCTTGCATATGGACTGAGGTAGATCGGCATAAGACAAGCATATCTCATCAATTCATTTCTGGTTCCATCTTAGGTCTCTTTACCACGGAATTATCTATTGGGCGTAAGACTGTATCAGATATACACCATGGCTTCTCATGATCTCCCCACTCACCTCAAGCAGTCGCTCGAGGACACCAAAGTCGAGTACCGCCAGCTGGGTAATTCAGGTCTACGAGTGTCTGTCCCCATCTTTGGCTGTATGAGTTTGGGAGACAAGAGAGTGCTCCCTTGGACCATTGAGGAAGAAGAGGTGCGTATTGGGTTTCCTCTCCTTACTAGTTCCTCCTATACTGACAGGCGATGCGACATCACAGGCACTACCACTTCTCAAGGCTGCGTATGACCGCGGGCTGAACACCTGGGACACTGCCAATGTGTACTGCAACGGTGCCTCGGAAGTGATTGTAGGCAAGGCTCTCAAGAAGTACAACATTCCCCGCCACAAGGTTGTGATTCTCACCAAGGGCTTCTTCGCGGTGGGTGAAGATCCCGGTAGGTCCCAGCTCTCTTCCATTCCTCTTACTCTTACAGTGTAAGCATCAAGACATAAATCCTAACTAGACATTCCGCCGGTCTTCAGGCACCCGCCACTTTGAGCAGCGCGCAGCCGTTGAAGCCTCCAAGGACTACCAGAACAACTTCGGCCTCTCGCGCGCGGCCCTCTTCAACCAGGTGGAGGCGTCCCTCCGGCGGCTGGACACGCCGTACATCGACCTGTTCCAGATCCACCGCTTCGACCGCGCCACGCCCATCGAGGAGACGATGAAGGCCCTGCACGACCTGGTGCAGTCGGGGAAAGTGCGGTACATCGGCGCCAGCAGCATGTGGGCGACGCAGTTCGCGCGCATGCAGTTCGCCGCGGAGCGCAACGGCTGGACCAAGTTCGTCAGCATGCAGAACCAGTACAGCCTGCTGTACCGCGAGGAGGAGCGGGAGATGAACCGCTTCTGCGACGACACGGGCGTGGGGCTGATCCCGTGGGCGCCGCTGTGCCGGGGTCACCTGGCGCGGAGGCCGGCCGAGTTTCGGTCCACGACGAGGAGCGCGGGGGAGAAGGAGGGGCGTGTTGGGCAGACGGAGGAGGACCAGAAGATCATCGCGAGGGTGCTGGAGATCTCGGAGAAGCGTGGATGGCCGATGGCTCATGTGGCGCTGGCGTGGGTGAACAAGCGGGTGTCAAGCCCGATCATTGGGTTCAGCAGCCTGGAGCGCCTGGAGCAGGCCATTGGGGCGACGGGCAAGGTCCTCTCAGAGGAAGAGGAGGCATACCTTGAGGAGCTATACCGGCCCAAGGCCATTGATGGACATGTGTAGCAAAGTGAGGTGAAGGCATGTTCACGTTCCAGGCCGACGGACCGAGGCTTTCTGAGAGAAGTCTAGGGTAGTCCAATGAACAGGAGGGATACACAACTATTACAGCGATTGGATCTCTGGAACAACAAAATAATACACCAGGAATTGGTCCTTCGTAAGAAATTCTTGATCAGTACTTTGAAACACATCATCCAACTATGTCAGAGGTCGTACGATGGCCGTTGGCGAGTGGCTGAGGCCTAACCGCCAACCGTGGCTGCTGACGATCAAGCCGAGGTACAGTAAAACCAGGCTAGAGCTTCAATCTTCCTCGGCGGGTTCGGTGTGCGGACCGCTTCATCCGCGGCGTGTGCGCTGGTGCTAGCTCTGCTTGTTTACTTAAGTCTGGGGAAGCCTGGTCTAGGCTGGTTCTCTGTCCAATGGTCCTCTTGTGGTGTCTGCGTGTTTTTGGTGCGTCATCTGAGTGAGCACATCATATGCGTGCTATTCTTGCCATTGCCTACTCACACATGCTAATTATCCACTTATCAGATTCGACGTATTCTATTATCTAACGTCTGGTCGATCAGCACCTCGACTTTAATCTCGCATCCTCAACAACCACCATCACCAAAACCAGTCTTTCCTTCTTTCATTTCCAAGGACCACTGTACTGGTAGGCGGCTGGAGAGGATCAATCCAGAACCAAGGGTCACACATCCACAATGGCCTCAACGACGTCAGCGACGACCACGGTGGTCGCCACCGAAGCGACATCGGCATCGTCCATTGCCTCACTACCATCCGGCAAACCAATCGACTCGTCCGCGCCCAAGTCCAACCGACCGCCCCCTTCCCTCGCCTCCCTCCTGACCGCGGGCCCCTACGCCGTCGACTCGTTCCTCGCCCGCCTCCACCGCTGCCTGCAGACCCGCAGCGGCGCCGACACGGTCCTCTTCTTCATCTGCTACGCCTCGCGCTTCGCGGGCGCCGCCCTCGAGGACATCAGCCGCTCTGCCCTCCGCCACGCGGCCCAGAACCTCATCGCCCTCGCCGTCAAGCTGCCCCCCTCCACCACCGTCACCTTCGACTCGGCGCCCCTCGTCTCTCCGGCTGCCGCCATCGCCCTCCAGCTCTCCGCGCGCCTCAAGGCCCTCGCCGCCACCCTGAGCGAGATCCGCACCTTTGGCCGTCTCTGGGGCCTCCTCGGGCTCTACTTTGCCAGCAAGAACCTCGTCAAGTCCGCCCTGGCGCCGCCCAAGAAGGAGGGCGAGGGAGACGGCCGCACCAGGGCGCAGGCCCGCTTCGACACCTTCTGGGCCGCGGCGCAGATCCTCGCCCTCGTGTCCTTCCAGCTCAACGAGAACATCGTCTACCTCGCGTCCAAGAAGATCCTGGGCGTGTCGCCCGCGACGCAGGGCAGGCTGGGCCGGCTGAGCGTGCGGTCGTGGGCCGCGTACACGTTCATGGAGCTGGCGAGGCTGCTGATCGTGCGCCAGCGCCGCGCCTCGGCCAGGGCTGGCGGGGAGCTGACGGCCAAGGATGCCGAGTGGAGGAGGGACTGGACGAAGGACTTCACGAGGAACCTGTCGTGGGCGCCGATGACGGTGCACTTCAGCGTGGAGAAAGGCCCGCTGAACGAGCTGGGCATCTCCGCGCTGGGTCTGTATCCTGCTATCTCTCAAATGCGGGAGCTTTGGGCGGACAACGCATAGGCAGGTTTCATGCCGCCTGTTGAGCGTTTGGTCATCATCGATCGTGAGACAAGAGTGCTGGCGGGTATTGAAGCAGTCCAGCATCTTAAAGAGATGGAGAGTTTTGCGGATGACTATAATGGTCGTAAAGGGGGAAAGAAGAATCATCGGAACAATTATTTGAGTGTTGTTTCAAGCGAGCGAATACACTTGCGCTTTCTGCCTACATCAGATTGAGCAGCAAAGCATTATACATCTTATACGATACTCGGAAGCAAGGCTTTAGCTAGACATTCTCTCAATTTGCCCCTTTTTATGTAGATATATTTTACGGTATATAGATGCCCCCGAGAATTTCACATTTTGAATGAACTCGATAGAATGACAAACATCATCAAAGAAGCAGATTCCATTGCAAGTATATACCAATCATGTAGCCACCCATGATTCTCATGTCTTCATTCTATTTTCTCCTAAATTTCCTCTTCACATCGGCATCCTCCTCATCTCCTCCAGCGTCCAGTACTTCCTCATATTCTCCGCCCCCAGCGTCTTCACCTCGTCATCGAGATGGGCCCAGAGCACGTCGCCCCACGTCTCCATCTTCTCCTTGAGAACAGTGAGCTCGAGCTCGTGCTCCCCGGACAGGCACCCCCGCAGGTAGGCCTCGAAGACCTCGAGGCCGGCGTGGATCTCCTTGTGCTGGTCCGGCAGGCTGCCGCGGAACTCGGGCATGCGGCGGGCGAGCATGGGGAAGAAGTGGCGCTCCTCGATGCCGTGGTGCATGGTCAGGTGCTCGGCGAAGCTGAGGCCCTCGCCGATGAACTGGCGCATGCTCATGCCCTGGGGCCGCTTCTTCTTGTTGCAGGCGTCCCAGAGCAGGGTCCAGGATTGGCGGAAGTAGTTGTGCTAGGGGGTTTGTTAGGCTTTTGATTTTCTGGGGGATTGCTCGGTGAGACGTACAAAGGCATCCATCCGCACTGCCATGCGGTTGTATTGTTTGAAGTCATGGTCTGAGAGGGGGGGCAGCTTCTCGGTTTCTGTGGCCGCGGGAGGCTTGTTGGCGGATGGTTCAGCTGCACCTGCCATTGCTACTTGGGTTTGATTTCGAATGGAGTGGGAGAATGGGCGTAAGAGAAAACTGTCGCGAGGACGGGCTGCAAGTAAACGTCCCAGGGTCAGACTGTAAGACGGCGGGCGCAGTCTCCTCATTTATCACGAATGTAAATATCTATCGCGAGATGGGCTACAAGCGCAGTCACGATACGATATACATATATACGACCAGATAAGGCACTTTCAATTACTTCTGATTTATCAGACCGTCACAATCGCGAGGCCGAGAACCATATGGGCAGCGGCGAGAAGAATTAGTGGTTTCCCCATTAAACACCCTACCGTTTGCCCCAGACGGCAGATGCAACGCCCAGGGCCGATCCAATAGGAGGCGACGCTTAGAATTAATGGTGGTGAGAGGCGATGCAGTGAGAAAAAAGCTGCTGCTTGATTAGTCTCTGCCGCGCGCGGTTATTAGTCATGCTGCCTGACATAGAGCAGAGTCAGCTTTGTGCCGCGCGCGAGTCAAACTCAGCCCGGCGACTTTTCGCTCGTCGGACAGATCGATTTGCCGCATCGATCAATCAGCTGCGCAGTTGAAACAGCAGTCTCCCGGTCTGCTGTTGCTGCTGTTTGCCCCGATGTTCATTGAACCAGACATATGAATACTGCTGGCCTGCCGTTAAGAGGCATGATCTCTATAGGATGAAGCTACAACCAGGGTAAGAGTTCTATGACGGTATACACCGTTGTCTTAGTAGTTTCGCAGGGCAGCTGGACGATCTCTTAAATCCACTGAGTTTTCAGTGATGTCTTTAAGCTGAACAAGCCTGGTGGAATCATTGTTTTCTCTACGAGCACCCCGGACCTAGTCCAAGCTTCTGACAACAAAGGCAACTCGGGGTGGAACTTTACGATTGCCCAGAGATGCCCGAGTTTCCCGGAAGCCTTTCCCAGGTCCTTCAGATCTCGACACACCTAAAATACTTCTCAACCGCACTCGTCTATTGTTAAGAACCTCAATTAACCTCAAAACATATACGATGATTTTGGGGCTCATTTGGGTGGAACGTGCGGATACCAGACAGGACATAACCATCTCGAAAGCCAGGACTCGTCACTTTGTTCGGTCGGCTCCCTTGCTAATCCTACAGGATGGTAGCTGGATAGCATTTTGACATTTAATAGAAGTCTTGTTCTACTTTTAGATATAAGAAGTATATCGGAGGGGATACACGGATCGAGGCTGAAGGTGCCTGGAAAGTCCTCACTTCCAGAACTTCCAATTATTTTAACAACAATTTCTTTAGAATAATCTCAAATCCTGGACCTTATATTAAGGAGACCATGGTACGTGATGGATTTCAAGAATGCTATTGTTTCCTAGTTGAGAGAACACAAGGCAAAAGGTTAGGCTTGTCGTTCACTCAGGCGAGCTTCTATAATATGTCGGCTACCCTATACTAAGCCTAGACATTCAGGTGCACTCAAGCTTCAATAAACAGACAGCAACCTCATGTTCCTTATCTAAATATTTCACTTTATTATTGTTGTACATGTACAGCCCAGCTGTGTAATTCCATGCGCCCACAGGTCCTATCTTGTCCACCTACATACATGCATAATGGCACCGATTTTTATCTCTCATAGTCCGGTATTTCTAGTTACTTACATAGCAATGACTCAAAATACACTTGCGTAGAGGCTTTTAAGTCACCGCCAGACTTCAATATCCAAGCCATCAACTGTCTCCTCCACACCAAATACAGCCCACAACAAGTAGAATATTCCAGAGGGGACAGAGTCAATCCACAATGGCAGCAGCCCCAGGCCCCGCGTGGACCTTCGAGGCCCTCCCGGACATCTTCGAGAACTACGGCGCCGCCTCCTACGACGGCCACTACACCTCCAAGTTCAACAAGGTCGCCACGCAGCCTCGCCTGGCCCTCCTGCCTCGTGAGTACCCGACCGACGACCCGTCCGCCGCCGACCAGAGGGACTGGACGCGCCTCGCCGCCTACGTGAGGTCGCTCAACGCGCAGGCCCCCGCCAATGTGCGCTATAAGGTGCTCTACCTCACCCGCCACGGGCTGGGCTACCACAACCAGAAGCACACCGAAGTCGGTACCCGGGAGTGGGAAGTATGTAGAATCGCTATCCTCTTATTACTCGTAGATATCAATGAGTTTCTTTACATGTGTATTGACTGACACCTCTCAGGAGAAATGGGCACTCAAGGACGGCGACGGCGTAAACACCTGGTTCGACTCCTTCCTCACCCCCGCCGGCGAGCAGCAGGCCAGGGACCTGAGCAAGCTGTGGGAGACGCTCACCACGGAGGACAACGTCCCCTTCCCGCAGTCCTTCTACACCAGCCCCATGGCCCGGTGCCTGCAGACCACCGAGCTCGCCTTCGCCCCTCTCCGCCCTCCCTTCCGCGCCACCGTCAAGGAGGCGCTCCGGGAGCGGTACACCATGCACACGTGCGACAAGCGCCGCCCGCGCTCCTGGGTCGAGGCCAATTGGGGGCCCAAGGGGTATCTCGTTGAGCGGGAGGGTTTCCCCGAGGAGGACCAGATGCGGGCGCTGGGCAGGCCGGAGACGGATGAGGAGCACACCGCCAGGAAGCAGAGGGCGCTCGAGGACATTTTCGAGGCCGACGAGGGGGAGTTCATCTCGCTCAGCATCCACTCCATTGCCATCCGGGCTGTTCAGGCGGCGTGTAAGGCTGATGTGTTCCGGGTTCGGGAGGGGTCGTCGATTGCCATGTTGGTGAAAGGTGAGAAGCAGGTTAATGGTGAGAAGCTATAGAAGGATAGAAAGCGTGGGAGCACATAGAAAGCTCATTAGAAAGGCTTCGATACCTAGACATTTTTGATTTTGAAATTCGAACATGGAAAAAGATAGGTTCTCCATGTGGAATAATTCTAAAGCAGCCATCTCACGACCTTTCATCACATCGCTCAAATGCTAGAACAGCATGGCTATCTGTTATGTGTATATCTATACATGCCGCTACGGACGGCGTTGCCCGAGATCCTCCTCTCCCATGGCAAAATGCCTTCTTCAGGGTATCTAATACGTGAAAATAAAAAAAGGCTTTATTTCGCCTTTGGCTTGATGACCATCAACCCATTCCCACTAGCACTCCCCCACACACTCTCGCTGACCTTGGTCGGGATTTTCCTCCCTTTGAGGCGCTGGTCTATCAGCCACATCCCGACCACAAATTCCTGCCTGCTCAGCACGCCTCTCTTATCACGGTCGACGAGATCCCACACCTCGATCAGCTCATCCTCGGGGAGCCGCGATCGCTTCCAGACCTCCCTCACGACGACGTTGGCCACCGAGTGTGAAAAGTCCTTGAGATTGTCCCTGCCGCTGCTGCTGAGGCTGGACGCCGAGGGCGAAGCGGCGTGGGGCAGGTGGATGCCACGGTTGGACGCCCACACGGCCTCGTAACGCTTGCGCTCCCTGGGCGTGACCTCATCTCGCCATCTCCTGCGGGAGCCCTCGTGATGGGCGTGCTTCCCGCTTCGCAGCTTGTGCCGGTGATTCTTCTTATGTCGATCCTCCTCATCATCAGATGAGTCGACAGGGCCTCGAAGCGTCTGGCGAAGGCGCGGTGATTTCTGCCGTATCGGCGTTACGGGAGGGGGCAACGAGGTTCCTGTGCTATGGGGCGTTAAACGAGCAGCGGCCAAAGACCCAGCCATGATGGCGCTCGTTAAGGAATCCAGGGCCTGGCTCTTGTTGGTCGAGGACGCGGTAGTTGAGCGTTGCCGCTGCACATCTCTAGTTGGTGATGGTGGCCCGCTCGCCGTTTTCCGATGGCGGGGTGGGAAGGCCGGGGCAGATTTGGCAAGCTCAGGCGAGGTTGGGGCAGAGACGAATACATCATTTGCTGAATCCATCGTATCAGTTGTTTTTGTACGGTGCAGCCCAATCGGCTCCGGGCTGTCTGTATCACGATTCGAAGAAACCTTGGTTAACGGCTTAGAGCTTCCCCGGGGCTTTGGTGGTGCGGGTGCCTGGCTGCGATCTCCTTTGGGCTTGCTGGGAATGGGTTTTGTTCGGCCTTCGGGAGCCTGGTTCTGCTTTAAATTACTTGTAGATTGAGGTTTTCTTGGTTTTGGTGGTGTTGGGGGAGCTGAAGATTTCGCGACTGGCTTAGACAGAGCTGCGTCTTCACTAATAGGCGCTGCCTGACCTGATCGTTGCTTGGATGAGACTCCGGCGGCTGGTTTGTCAACCGACGGTTTTGGCTTGGGAGGAGGGGCAGATGTCCTAGATTCTGGTGGTGTAGGTGGTCTCGTAGTCTGTGTTGGAGCTCTCTTGGGCTTCGGTGGAGGCTTCACAGCCCCTGGCTGGAGCGGACTGATCCCGGCTGACTGCGGTGGCGGCGTCAGAGGGCTGAATTGCGGGGGATTGCTCGTCTGTGGTGAATTGTATTTGTTGGTGATCCGAGGAACTGCTGTCTGCACAGGCGAAGTATACGTGGGCGAAGCACGCCTCTCCTCCACTTCAGGTCTCTTCCTGTCACTCGTATTCTGAGAGACAAGGTTCTTTAACCGCGGAGGAGAACGACTCGCTTTCACCTCTGGCCTACTTAGCTCAACAGCACCCGCAGTCTGTGGAGCTCGTTGCCTCTGTCGTGAAGAAGATGGACTCGTCCCAAGATCTGGCTCCCTCGTATCGGTCCTATCCTTGGACATCAGATGGTCGAGCCGTGGAGGAGTGGCCTGGCTCTTGGGTTCCATCTTGAGCGGCCGCTTCTCCGCCGCCCTCGAAGCCACACCTTCATCCACCAGCGGTTCTCTCCTAAAAGCCACAGTCTCATCCACCGAGCGCTTCCCGCGCACCGGCGTCTTCTTGACGGGATCCCCACCACCTCCCCCTCCCCGCCCACCTTCAAATATCGATATCAAGGATCCCGTCGGGGGTATAGGCTCCGAATCCACAGCCACATCAGCAGAGCTCACCGAGCTCATAGCGCCCACGCTGGCCTTCCTCCTAGGTGCCGGGGACGCAGCGGCGGGCTTCGGCGGGCTCGGACTCCCATTACGGCTCGCCGCCAGGGTAGCGGCGATGAAACTCGTGCTCTTCGGATCGACCCTCGGCGGCGTCTGCAGGTGACTCCCGTACTGCTGGTGCTGGTTATGCTGCTGGCCCGAGGCCGCGGCCAGCTGCTGCATCCTCCCAGCGACGATGCTCCTCGCCGCGGCCGCGTCCATGTCCGGCAGGCCGTTGACGCTCCCGCCCGTGCTCTGGGAGCTCAGCGTGGCGGCGGCGAGGGCGCCATTGCTGCCCTTGGACGGGGGAGGGGGCGCGGGCGGCTTCTTCTTGCTGAAGGCCAGGGAGGCGCCCCGGAGGGCTGCAGCCGGATCTGAGGATGCGCCGCCGCCGGGGGCATGGGGCGCGCCGTAACTCATCACCGGAAGGAGGCGTAGGGAGAACGACGAGGAGACATTAGATATGGAGAGTAATTCGGTTCGGTCGGGTGAGGCTTTGGTTTAAGAGAGATCTGGCAGATATAGCGATGTCGCGGGTAGTTAAACGAGGCCAACAGGAGTAGGACCCAGCCGCTGAAACAAACAAGGATCCCGCAGCAACCGAACGGGCGGTGGATCAGGGGTTCTAAACGAGCGAGCGGGCTACATTAAGGACCAGCCAGGCGGTGCCGGCGGACTGGACTCAAAGCGAACGGACGAGCGAGGCTGGGCTCGGGGGTGCGTAGGTCACTCCCTCATGCTACCCCTCGTTCGGAAAAGGCTGATCGGTCGAGGTCTGGTGAGGGGGGTAGAGCTGAGACGAGACAAGACGAAAACGAGGTTGCCTGCCACATGTCCTGCCGCTCAGCTGTGCGACATGTTTTTGATGGATGGAGCTGACTGATCGATCTCCAAGGCCCGCAAGTCAAAATGGAAGTCTCGGGAACCTCCGCACCAGCCGTGCTGAGTGTGGCAGCCGTTGCGGCAGAATGTATCGGGTACAGAGGCCAAATTGAAGGTCAAATACTAAAATTACAGCTCCATAGCGCCTACTGGCGCTGTCGTCAGGGGTTCAGCTCTCCGCGTGGCACTTGTCTGGCAGCTATCGGCCGCTACTGGTTAGCGGCTCATCACCAAGTGGCGCCTGGCTCGAAGAATGCTGCCAGTTGTGTGGCTGATGATCACGTACATGTGCATGCTCGTGTTCGGGATCCGAGGAGACCAGAGACCTGGTTGGCCATATCATGGATCTCTCAGAAATGCTATACCGCGGAAAGTGGGAGAAATCACAGGGTCATAGCGTGGTTGGATACCTCCATGCATGATATCTTCCATGAGGTGCATCTTCGGCGGCTCATCTCAGACATCGGGATCAATAGTAATCTTCAACATTTGAGTAGACGAAAATTGTGTATTCAAGCCTCTCTACCAAACACAATACGAAAAGCCCTTATATCGGGAGCAAGATGTGCAATCAATCAATCGATCCAACAAACGCCAGACCAAAGACAAAAACCAATTCCAAACAGCCACACTGCTATGCGCCTTAACCCTTTACCCGTAGTCCCTCCCTCAACACCCCTCGGCGTGTCCACGATATTACCCTGGTAAAAATGTTTAGCTAGGACCAGTGGACGCAAGCTTCTCCTTGCATCCATCTGTACCCTTTGCTACTCCTCCTCCAGGCTGAAGGGCAAGACCCAAACCAAAAAAGACAACAAGATAAGGAAACTACAAAGGAGGTTCCTTTGTAAACGTATTGGACATCGCAAGAAACAGTCCCATTTGCAGGGGACCCGCGATGATTTTCAAAAAGAGATAATAAATCTTCTCTTCCAAATATGCACAACTAGAATCAGAAGAAAGAAAGAACGAGACGAAGCGAATCCGATGGGGGTGTGTTTGGTCCCCATCGTAATGTAAGAGCATGAAATAATAAACGAACGGTTCTGTGATGAGAACCAACTGCAAAGCTTATTGTGAAGAGAGGTCAGCAAACTGACAAGTATCGTGTCCAGCATCAATGTCTCGTCGTGAACCTCTTCCAGCAGGGGGAAGTATCAGTTGCGCCATGATCATAAAGAATAATCTGCATCAACTCGGAACTCATAGTTCTAGTGTGTCTCATTAATCATGCTGCGCAGGTTGAGAACTAGTAGGCGTCCTCATCGGTCCAGTCGCTCCCCGAGATGATGCGGTTGCCGTCCTGGTCAATCATTACGGGCGCGTTGTTGTACGCATGTGAAGGGGGCATGCCTCGTATCCGCTTCGATTGGCTGCTCGTCAATCGACCGCCCTGCTCAGTCTCCACGCGCTTTCCCCTGGCGGCCCTCAACTTGGCATAGTAGGCATCCGAGGCGTCCGGCTCGGGCTCACTGTTATCATCGTACGTCTCCCAATTCTCGGAGCCTGAGATATTCACAGACGACTGGGAATTGTTGGACACTTGTCGGGGAGGCGGCGCCATGGGGTACGGATTATTTCCACGGACGGTTGCGTATCGGTCGTCGTAGTCATCATACTGGTCCTCGTAGTAGCTGCTGGGCTGTGTGCTGTGCGACTGGTTGGTACTGTGAGAGAATGTGGTGGAATGGGACTGGTTGGAGGTGGAACGCCCGCCTCTGGATGTCTGTGGGCGATCATCATACACATCCTCAGGCTCAATAGGCCGCACGATACTGCCATTCAAACCAGCTGACTTGTAAGGGTTGACCGGTGTCTCGAGCTCAGGCACGCCCATAAGATCTCTCATCTTTGGTGGTGGTGCTCTCATCGGAGCGGCGCTGCGAAGACCATCGGCCCTCGACTCTGGTCTGGGTCTCTCGGGCGAATTGTTCCCATGCTTCAAATTAGACAGGGGGACACGAGCGGGGATTCTCGACGGGCTTCCCTTTCCACCAGCGCTTGAGGCTGCTGGCTTTGCTGGGGTTTTCCTGAACGTCCCACCGCCGTTTCCAGTTGCAGTTGGTGTCTTGGTCATGGAACGTGGGGGGATCGACCTCGTGCTGGGCGCTCTGCTGGGGACCGACTTGGGAACAGCCTTGGCTGCCGATGAGGGGTGGCCTGCTGGTGTCTTGGAACGGGCGGGAGGAGCCGACCTCTTCGAATCAGCCGCCTCAATCTCGTCCAGATATCGTTCACCAAATACCAAGAAGGGGCGCCCGTATTCATCCTCCCATCTGCTCAAGACTTTGCGCAATTCGGCGGTGATTTTGGGGAGCTCCTTTGCAATTCGCTTGCGCATCTTCTCTTCACGGAGGAGCTTCCCTGGGTCGCGCTTCTCCCCCTTCTGGCCGCGCATCATGAGTCGAGAGGCATCTTGGCTGGAAGTGGCCAAGTCATCGCGTTCCCTGATCAACTCCTTGTGGCGATCAACCAAAGCAAGCGTGGGTCCACGCTGCTCTTTGAGTGCCTCCAGCCTTGCAACCTCTCGCTCATGGGCCTCAAGGAGGGCATCACTATATACGTCTGAAAAGGCGGGAGTGAACTCGAGCATTTCATCCTCAGAGAAGTAGAGCGAGTCCCAAAGCTCCTGCAGCTTTACCCGAGAGTCCTCGACGAACAGGTGGAGATTCTGGCGCTTCAGTTCATTGAGACGTGCAAGCTCGTCCTCAAACTCGTTGATCTGGCGAACACCGCATCCACGGTTCTGATTGATAAAGGCTTTGGTCTCTGCCGGGTCCACCTCCAGCTTCACCCAGAGGGCCTCAACAGCAACCTTCAGATCCCGGAGCCTCTTCTCACGAGACTTCTTCTCCTCAAAGAGCCGGTCACGCTTGGTGCGGAGGCGATCGAGGTCCTCCTGGTGGAGACCCAGCTGCTCTGGCGCATCTCTGTAGTACTTGACGATGGCGCCATCCTGCTGCGCTTGAGGAATGCCCAGCTCGGCCCAAAGCTGGATAACGTCGTTTGACAATGTCTGGACGGTGGCAATACGGCGCGTATACTCTTCATACACACGGGTGAATTCACCATCGAGCTTGTCTACATAGGTGGGTGAGAGGTCAAAGTTGGTGGGGATTGACTGGTTGTGGCCTGTGGGAGGTAGTGCGATCTGTACGAATGTGGGCTCAAGATGCGACGAGTATGATTCTAATGCTTCAACAAGCTCTGCGGGAAGTCAGTAAACGCGACATGAGGGGGAGAACAGCTCTCGAGGTGGTGTGGCACAACATACTTCTGACTTGCTCGAAGCGCTCTTTGTGAAGTCTGCTAATCTGGATATGTTTCTCCTTGAGGGTTTGTAGGCAGCGGTTGAGAGGGTATGTGATGACAAAGTCATCTTCGTCCTTTTCTCTGCGGTGCTTAGTGTCATCTAGTGATGCTTCCATCTGGCGAATGGTTGTGATGATCTTCTTGGCCTCGTCGACCATCTCCTTCTTCTCAGCCGTCACCAGCCGTACTTGGCTGTTCAATGCTTCTGAGAGAGCCTCGAAGAGCTGTGTGATTCCGCAAGTCAGATTGATGCGCCAATAAGGACAAATACTCGAGTCGCAATACACACCTCTTCTTCGCGAGCCTCGCGCTCATGGTTCGGTACGCCAATCTCGTCGAATAGGCCATGCAGCTGGCCTATGCTGGCGTTGACCTGCTGGGCAAGATAGCTCGTGTCCATGGTAGTGATGCGGGCTCAAGGATGGCCTCGAGAGGTAGTAGATATAGAGGTAAAGAGCGTAGGGGCAGGGCTATTGGATAAACCCAGCTGCCGGCGGTGTTTGGAATGTCGCGGGATCTCGGCCTCGTTATGTTTTCCCTCGGGGTTGCACAGCGTGATGGGTCTCGGGCGGGTAAAAGTGGTTTGTTTACTTCCAAAAGCAAGCTGCCTGGAGTGGTGGCATCAGGTGCGGGTGTGTCGAAGAGGAATACAGCAAAGCATGCTATAGGAGGCGAAGCTAGACACAGTCCATCCGAGAGGACGATGATTGGGAGAAGCAGGAGGGAGGAAGGAGAAATTCACGGTGATCTGGCCATGCTCGGAGAGAAGATCCAGGCCTGCCTTGTCCATGCAGTGCAGTGCGCAGGTACCGCACTATTTACTGGCGCATGATGGGGATAACGTCTACAGGGCACCACTCCACTGAGCCAACGGCCCTGCGCGCTGTTGTGGTGGGGGTTGGCGTGGCAACCGACGGGCTGCTGGCCCCAGCCAAAGAGCCTGCAGCCTGTGGCCGATAGCTGGGTTCTGCAGCCAGTCAGGGCGGTGCTCGGCGGCAGCTCTGCGGGCCAAATGCAACCTTGTTTCACAGCATGCGCACCGGAACCTTGTCAGTGGCTCCCAGTGGCGCCTGTTTTTATGCACCGCATTGGGCCTGTGCAGCAGCAGCATCCATCTCGTCTGTCTCGTGAGCAGCTGTCGGCGTCTTGTCGTCTGGTTGGTCGGCCATCGTTCCCGTTTAAGGTAAGGCAGGTTTGAAGCCCATACTCTTGGTCAGATCGAACCT